GGCCGTAGAGCCTTTAATAGGAGACGAGGAGGTGGATGGTGCAGCAAATTGCGCAGCAGAGTGAGCAGCAGAAGAGGAGTCCGGGTTGTGCTGGGAGTATACACGGCGCAACTGGTGGTCCACGTGGGGGGCGGTGGATGGACGCCTCCTGCTCTCTGCCCCACCTGTGGGACGAGTTATGGTTACCGCACCTATGTCCCTTAGCTGCTGCTGCTGCTGCTGCTGATTGGGACGATGGCTGTGCTGGGTGTATCCCAGACGAGAAGCAGCAGCACCATCATCTCCGCCCTCCCCGTCCTCGTCTCCCTCAGACAGCCCACCGTCTGACTCTGCTCCCACGTCCTCACCATCGCTGCACCAGCCGTGGGTGACAGTGGGGGCATCCATGCAGAACACCTGCCTCAAGCGCCTCCGCCTGCTCACCGCTACGGTACCTCCCTCTCCACCGCCCCCACCTGCACCTCCTGCTGCTGCTGCCTTGGATTTATTCAATAACTTCTGTCCGCTTCCCGCTGCTATTGCTCCCTCCTTGTCCTTTCGCGAACTCGTTCTAGAGTTCCTTATTCCTTTGGATCCGCTTGCTTGCCCTTGACTCACCCCTGCTCCTCCTTGCCCTTGCTCACACGCTCCTAACTCTCTCCCACTCTCCTTCCCTGCCTTCGTATCCACTACCCTGTGGCCCATAACGCACCCGCTCCTGTCCTGTAGTGCGTGTCCGCCGAAGGAAGCACTGCGCCTGTGCGCCCCACTGGGTTTACAGGTGCGGGAAGCAGACGCAGGAAGGCCGGGTGGGAGAGCCTTGGCCCTGGTTGCAACAGCGTCAGCACCGGCACCAGCAGCAGTGGCGGCGGCAGCAGAGGTTGCGGTGCTAACAGCCGTGGATGCTGCAGCTCGGGTGGCAGCAGAGGTGCCATGGAAGGTGCGTGTGTGGGTGAGAGAAGAAGCGGCAGATGGTGCGATGGAGCCTGCAGCACGGCCGCCGAAGCTGGCCGATTGGGTGAGTCTCCCCTTGGGATCCCTGCTGCTGGGGAGCAATGCAGCTGCTGAAGCACTAGCAGCCGCAGCAGCATCGGCATTCGCCGGAGCAGCAGCAGTTGCCGGGCGTGCATGAGCGCCATGCATGGACGCATCCATACTCACGCCTCGCCTGTGTGATGTGCCTCCCCTGCTGCCCCCCATGCTCTTAGACCGACTGTGCCGATTCTGTTTCTCCCCCGTCTGGCCCTCATTTCCTGACGACCGTGCCTGCTGCACCATCACACTAAACTGCTCTGACTCCCTCCTCCCTGCGGCCTTCTTCCCGAGCTCGCCACCATGCTCTCGCTCCTCCCTGCTTTCCACGTCAGCCCTGCCCTCTGGTAGCCTGTCCCTGCTGTTCTCCTGCAACTGTATCCGCACCATGCTCTCGCCATCAATTCTAATGTGAACCGCCTCCTCGCTCATATCGCCCTCCATACTTGCATATGCTGACTGGTCGTCGCTCTTGCTCCTGCTCCGCCTCTTCTCCCCATCTCTCCGCCTCTTCTCTCCATCTCCCCCTCTCTCTCCCCGTCGCTCTCCACCTTTCCCTTCCTCCCTGCTACTTCTCCTCCTCTCCTTCTCCTTCCGCCTCCTCTCCTCATCTCTCTCCAGCCCTTTCACCATCACCTCCCCTATCCGCCGTTTAAACTCATCCATCTTTCTCTGCTCCGCCTTTACATCCTCTTTATTGCTCGCCTCATTTCCTGTCCTCAGCGCCTTGAGTCTGAGGCGAAAGAGGGACATTTTGCTTCCGAGTACCCCCTCATCCGAGTGCCTCCGCACCTTCAGAGCCTTCAGCCTCTGCTTGAAAACCGCCATTTTCTCACTCCCTCCATTGCACTCCGCCAGCCAATCAGAATCCGCCACTTGGCCACTGGTGGCATCCAAACCATCCTCGCAGCTACTAGATCTGTCGAGCCTTCCTTGCCTGCCTTGCCTTTCATGTGGTGCAGGAGCCGTCTTTGGTCGAACAGAGCCATTCCTGCTCCCCTCTCCCACAACAACCATGATCTCGTTATAATCACTCCAGCAACCTTCCGTGCATTCGTCATCTGCATATCTCAGCCTCGATGCAGTCACATCCGTTTCTGCCACAGGCGGCGTAGCAGAGCGTTGCACGTCCTCAGCCGGACTCACCTGCTGACTCGTAGCAGCGTCGGAAGCACTCTCTGGACTGTCCAAAATGAGCACATCTGGTGCAGATCGTGGCTGTGGAAGAGTCGACGGCGGAGATCGCTTCGATGAGCTCCTGCTGGAAGGACGCCTGCTAACACCGTCTGTGCGAGATCGGCCGGGCTTGACAATGGGCCCACCCTCGGTGTTGCCGCTGATGTTGGACGTGCTTATATGGGGTATAACCTCGCCGAGGCTCGCAAGAACAGGGTGGTATTGTTGTGCTGTGGGGGGAGAGTGAGCATCCCTGTGGTTCCGACCCACTGACTGGCTTTGATGCCTGCCTTTGGCACAAGGTTCAGACTGGGAGTGGGGAAACATCGCCGCTTGACTGCACAGGTGAACCCTTTCATCCGCATGTGTCTGCGACCGCGGCATGCGTGACTGTATCGGGTGTGACAGTGAGCGGTGTGACTGTGAGCCGTCGGAGCTGGAGAACGGGAACGCGGAGGAGCACGGGCTGCTCTGATCGTCCGTCGCGGATCGCGGCCCGCCGGGCGGGGATGGAGACCCCTCCCATATAGTCTGTCGCGAATTGCATCGCCGAGTCGCGGCGTCGCCCGATGGAACGGCCTTTCTGGAACTTCGTCTGGAAGACGCCTGTCCCACGGAGGCAGACTCAGGAGATATCCCCGATGCATGCATCGTAGTGCTGCCTCCTGCAGCCTGCCTCCGTCTCCCAGCGTCTGCCTTTCCACAATCAAGGCGAATGACCGAGGTAGTGGCGCTTGAGCCTGAACCACCACGGTGGTCGCGAGAGAACGGCATCATGTCTGCTTGAGGAGCCGTAGCCGGCCGCGACCTCGTCACCTTGACGTTGCTTCGGAGCGCAGGATGATGCCCGTCCAAACGTTGCGAGCTACCGGACATATCATGGATACGCGCTACATCCGGTTCCGCTTCCCCCGCCATGATGGAGCGCCTCGTTGCATTCGCCGCGTCGTCGAGCCAGCGGAGAACCTCCGCCTGGGTCGCTCCGGAGGGGTGCGGCTGGTGAATGCGACGCGGCGAGATTATGGACGCTGGCGGCCTCCGGTGCGCCGCGTTACTCGAATGGGAAGTCGAGTGCGAAGCGATTCGGCAGGGATTGTCTTGGATGGAACCTCTACTGCGTGATCTACGGTGCGCGCCGTGCTGAGCCGGCTCGTCGTCGCGGCGGTTTCGAGAATGTTCCATGGATTCGCATTCGGCGCGGATGGGCGAGTTCCACGAGCGGCTTGCGCAGTTGAGCAAGGGATTTTCCGAGGCAACGGTAGCCATTCGCACGTGATCCGGCGTTTATTGACACTGACAATTAGCACTACTACAAGCCCAATTTGCAAAATCGTTCGTCACCTAGAGGTGAAAGAATCTCCAACAACGCTTCGCGACGTAAGAATAGAGACGCCCACACTAACGCAAATGTTCCATGGTACACCATGTCTTCACCCTTCACAATGACAAGCATGGCCATGGGCTGAAATTAGCTGGTACAGTACACGTATGTAGCTGCTGATATGACCTCCCTGAAGGGTCAAGTACACGTACCTGACTGCAAGATGGTGACGTGACGAGGGCAGAAATTCAGGCTGGCCTTGGGAATGACGAGCTGTAATGACGAATTTGGCTCGAACCTGCAGACGGGGCTAGCTGAGGCGGGACCTGGTGAAGCCTAGGGGTTGGGCGGGACGAGATTGAGCGGATGGATGAGAATCAACGGCTGAATGGGTTTCACGGCATGTGCTGGATGATGCGGTGTGCTGCCAGCGGAGGCAAGAGGCCGCGAGGCGCGGACAAGCTCCACGACATGCCCCACAAGCAGGGCAGGGAGCGCGCGACAAAACCTAGGGACGGAAAAGCTGGTTGCAGCTGGCGAAATCGGATTATTCAACCACCAGGGTGTCGCAAGCGATTCTTCGCATTTCGCCCGGTCATCATGGGCCGTTGGCGGCACGGATGTGAGATCGCTTCATGTCGTGAAAACCAGCATGGTTACGGCTCGGGTAAGTGAGGGACTATCATGCGCGGATGGCACGAGCATTGGCTGAGGGGGTCATGGGCAAGGCGAGAAGATGTGCGAGGGAAATGAGGTTTGACGAAGAAACCCGTTTGAGTCATTCTTCTCATGAAGCACAGTGATGTTAAATAGGCAATACTGGAAGTAGTACAGTACGAGGGACTAACCTAGTTTTAGCATCACTTCTACGGGTGCTGCAGTCTACACCTCTTGAAACCATCTATGTCCTGTAATAGATAGAAACACGCAGGAACAGACGATTAGACACAGCAACAGCAGCCACACAAAGGTGGGGTAAGGAATGGAGCATGAAATACAGGTGTGAGGGAAAACGAAGTACACTATCATTCCTCATCATCTCCTCACACACAGCATTCTTTGTGATTTCCTTACCAATAGCTTGCTGTGCTGTGATTCGCCGGTGTGGGTTCTTATCCAGCATAGCCCGAACAAGGTCCTTGGCAGCTTCGGACACGCCGACCCAGGCTGCTGAGGCAAAGCGCAGCGGCTCGGAGCGAATGGCTCGGAAAATACCCTCATTGGTTTCTGCCCAAAAGGGTGGCACACCACAGAGCGCTGCATATGAGACGACGCCAGCCGCCCACACGTCAGCCTGTGGAGACCAGACTCCATCAAGGGTTTCTGGCGCGAGATAGAGAGGCGTGCCACACAGGGTGCTGCTGCGCACGCCTGCAGGAGGGAGGACGGAGAAGGGGCAATGGGTTTATGTGTGGATGGAATTGATGGAAGTGATGCAGTGAAGAGGAGAAGCAGGTGAGTGTATTAGGTTTGAAGACATCATTTTTATATACTAGTTACCTGGTTGGTGCTCAGCGGCAATCCCAAAATCGATGAGCTTGATGCTGCCAAAGTCCCCCTCAGCCCTCGCTAGAAGCACGTTCTCCGGCTTCACATCACGATGCAGCACACCGCACGCGTGGCAGTGATCCAATGCCGACAGCAGCTGGAAACAGATGGACGCCGCCGCCCGCTCGGTGAGTGGTCCATTGGTACGCATGTAGTCAAAGAGGCCTCCTCCTCGACAGAGCTCCATCACGAGATGAATATTCTGGCCGCCCAGGATGGTAGAGGGGAGAGGAGTGGGGAAAGGTGGGGTGCAGTGGAGAGAGAAGATGGGAGTAGCAACGTCGAATAGGATGTCGCAGATGGGCGTGAGAGAGGGTTGGTTGTTGGTGGTTTGTTGCCGGGACGGACAATAGTCCACTCTGAGTGAAGAGGAAGCATTCATGCAGCACGAATATGCCAGCCCAAGGCCCACTCACGTGGTTCTCGTGTGCTCCTTTCTCACGGTGTTCTTAAACCTTAGTTCAAATGCACCCCACACACCTCGTGGTCCTCGAAGACAGCGTGAAGGCGCACGACATTGCAGTGCCCTGCCACTCGCTCCATCATCTCCACCTCCCTCCTCAGGTCCCGCGCTTCCTCCGCTGACTGGCACACACACGCAGCACCCAGGGTATTGTGCGGGGGAGGAAGGGGGTGCAAGAATGGGGAGAGTGAGGGTAGGGAGTGAATATATGAGGCGACACACGTGCACGACACTGAACTCACCTTTCGAGACACCTCAAAAATTCCTCTGACCACCCTCTCGATACCTCCCCCCAGCGGCGCAAGCACGTGAATGGAGTCCTTTTCAATGGACTTGCACGCCAGCATGACCCCCGTTTGCACCTCACGGCACACGCACACGACGCTGAACTCGCCCATGGCCACCACCTCGTTACCCCCTCTAACCACCCAGCTCACTCACGTGAATAGAATCCTTCTCGATGGTCTTGCACGCCAGCATGACGCCCGTCTCCACCTCGCGGCACACGCGCACGACACTGAACTCGCCCATGGCCACCACCTCGTGGCGCCGCACCTCAAACTGCTCCGCGATGTCGCTGTACGGCTGCCCCAGCACAAACGCGCGGAACACCGCGTCCATCCCCACTCGGTGCCGCCGCGGCCCCACCCACCCCCTCCGCTCCTCCTGTGCCTCTGCTATGGCTGCCCCCTGCTGCTGCTGCTGGGGGTGCTGCTGGTGCTGGATGGAGGGGTGATTGACCTGTGGGTGCTGCTGCTGCTGCTTGTGCTGCTCCAGTGCGTCTAGTCGCTGTTGAATGCGCAGCCCCTTTTGCACCATCGCAGCATCATGAGCTGTGAACAACGCACTCAGCTGCTGCTGCTGCGGCAGCGGCTGTGGCAGTTGATGGAAATGATTCTGCTGCTGCTGCTGCTGCTGCGGCGGCGACTGCTGCTGTTGCTGGTGCATATGCGGAAAGGCGATTCGTTTCTGCGCGAGAAGCGCCTGCTCCCTCTCGTCACCCGGCGAACCCCGCGTCGCACTCGCAGGTGAATACCCACTGCTGCTAACAGGAGAATACTCCCTCCCACCGCCAACTGCATGCTCCCCAGCCGGCCCTACAAGCCCAGGCAGACCCCCTTCGTCCTCCTCCCGCTCCTGCTCCCACCCCATCTGCCACTCCCGCTCCAGCACCCTCGTCGCTTCATCCTCCCCCTCAGGCGTCCGCGGACTCGGTCCCACTGCTGCTACTGCCCGGGACACTATCCCCCCCCCCACTCCGCCCATCCCTGCTGCCCCCGCTGCTGCCCCGAATCCGCCCACTCCGCCCACCCTTCCCCCTGGTGCTCCCCCTGCCGCGCCTCCCCCTGCTCCTAGCGCCGCCCCTGCGCCCCCCCCGCGGGCGGCCATTCCGCCTTGCATGAGCGCGGAGCTATCAAGGGACATGGTGCGGTGATGCTGATGCCGCACCCCCCTCTCCACCACTGACCCGTACTGTCCCCTTCCCCGCACCAGTCCTCCTCCCATCCCCGCTCCTGACCCCGCTCCTCCCGGACCTCCCCCCACAGGCCTTCTGTCATTACTCCCCCCACTGGCGGATCTGAGCACTCCGCCCATCCCCCCTCCTCCGCCCATCACCCCCGCTGCCCCTGCGCTGAGCCTTCTTCCCTCTTCCCCCTCCCCGCCCCGCTCGCCCCACTCGCTGCTGACCCTCCGCAGCGCGCGCGGCGGCTTTGCCGTCGCAACAGGGGGAAGGCCGTCCATTCTGTTACCACTGCCACTGTTCGACCTAAAAAATGCATGCCCGGAACCAGTATTGGATCTTAAATACACCTGGCCGCTACCCGCCTCCACGCTACTTCCCCATCCGCCACCTCCGCCACTTTCCCCTTGCTCCCCTTCCAGATCAAGCCTATCCACCCCCAATCCATCCCCCAAAGCTGATGCGCCATCCCCCGCGAAACCCCCGCCCCCTGCGCCCCCGAATCCCCCTCTGTCCGCAGGGAGCAGATCCGCCAATTGTCCCATGGACCGCATCCGCGGGCGGTGTCCGCGCACTGGGGGAGGGGCCCCGCGCGAATGGAGCGCCGGGGGGGCAGCGGGGGGTTGCGGAGACGCCTGCTGGCGCAACTGGTGCTGGTGCGCGGCGGACATCTGCGCCGAAGGAGCGTGCGGCTGCGGCGCGAATCGCTGCGCGTGGCTTGCGCCTCCCCCGCGCCCAGCGCCAGCGGCAGCAGCCGCGGAGTCGACCATCCCCGGCCGCATCGCCGGCGAAGTGGTGGCTTTCTGAAGCCGCCGCTGATTGGCTGAATCTATTACTGGAAGCGATATCTGCCGCTGATACTGCTGCTGCAGCTGCTGCTGGTACTGCTGCTGCTGGTATTGCTGCTGTTGCTGGTGGTACTGCTGCTGCTGCTGGTGCTGTTCTTGCGTCAGCAGCAGTCGCTGCATCTGCACCTGCTGCACCTTCGGCTCATCCCCGCTCACATCCAGAACCTCCCACGTGCTCGTTTCAGCGCGCGACGCCGACATCATGCGCCGATGCATCCGCTGCGGCGGGGTCCGCTGCGGGTACGCCCCCTGCTGCGGAGGCTGCTGGAAAGGTTGCGCCGACGGCGGTGGCTGCGCCGGCGGCTGCTGCGGCCGTGAGACTCCGCCACCAGGCAGGGCCATTCCTCTTGCCGAGCCTAAGTTAGGTCCGGAGCTGAAGCTACCCGGGGCAAACGCTGCCGGGCCTGCATTTGGCGCGGGCATTTGACCTCTCACGGCGCCCAACGGTCTTCGCGGACCGTCGATCGCGTTAAGCTTTCGTGCCGGCTGCGACAGAGAACGGTTGAAACCGCGCGAATCGCTCGCAACGTTGCCAGCTGCGGTCCCTGCTCCCCCCGCGTTTCCCCCCATCCTGGCGGAAGCGGCTGGCGGGGGGATCCTTGCGCGGACCTGCGCGGGACCAAACCATCCAGTGTCGGCGGAAGGCATCGTTGCGAGCTCGTGATTTTCGTCGTCCGAAAGGGTCGGCGACTCTGGAGAAACCGATGTGCGACTGTTAGTCGCAAGGACTTCCGTAGCTTGGAAGTCCTGCGACGGTTTGCGGGGTCGCACAGCCTCGCATCGCAGCAGCTGCGGGACGGGCTCGTCGTCGTCCATTGGATCGGGGAAACAAGCGGGAGAAACGGAGAAGTACCTCTCTCCTAAAGCGCTGACGTCATGCAGAATCTAGCTGAAAGGAAACTGTAACTGAAGAGTACGGGTAATGTGATGCTGATGATCTGAGATTCTGAGGGTATTCTTGAGGCATTCCCGAAATCAGGCGACAGTTTCGAGAAACAGGAATGAAACAGCCCCCTCGGGACTGGACGGAATTGTGCTTGTACAGTCCCGAGGGATCTCGATGTTGGAGGGGCCACAGTTGGAATGGGTTGGTGGGACAAGGGCTGTCGCGTAGCGGCATTTGCCACCCAAATTCACAAGATATAGGACTGAACAGAACCTGAACACTGTTTTGTTGAGACCTCTACAGACGCTTGCTTATATAATGCAGATAACTTACACTCACATCACCGTGACATCCACATTCTTTGCCCCTTTGAGAACTGCTTGGATCCCTCTTGACAGCTGCTCTATTTTAAACGGCTTCACTGCATACCCATCCATCCCCGCTTCATAGCACTGCTCTTTATACCCTGCCATGGCATGTGCCGTCAATCCCAAAATGGGAATCCCTCCTCTTGCTTGCGGGGACCGTTTATTACCAGCATTACCTGCTTCAAATTGCCGTATTCTTTTTGTTGCCTCCAAGCCATCCATAACAGGCATCTGTGCAGAGGAATAATGCACAAGATGACGGCGCAAGGTGAACAGAAGGAAAGAGAGATAAGGAGAGGAGCCAATAATGAGACACCATTCGCAACACAGGCACTGCCCCAATTCCACTCCACCCCATCACCCACACCCACCCTCACCTGAATATCCATCAGAATGACGTCGAACGACGCCGCCCGCTCCTCAATGGCAGTGAGCGCCAGCTGTCCGTTACCAGCAATCTCCACCGTCGCGCCCACCTTGGTGAGAGCGTGCTTGGCCACGCGCTGGTTGACCATGTTGTCCTCTGCCAGCAGCACTCGCACCCCCGCCAGTAAGAGTGCCCCCCGAGCTCGGCTGGAGGGCACCAGAGGGCCTGACATGGACTTCACAGGCGTGCGCACCCGTGCTACTGCCGCTGGTGCTATAGCGCCTGGCACTGCTGCTGCTGCTCTAGATACTGCTGCTGGTGCGATAGCTCCGGCTGGTTCTGCTCGAGAAGCTGCTGCCGGTGTACCAGATGCTGCTGCTGGTGCTACAGACAGTGAGGATTTTGCTGTTGGCTTGCTCTGTGACGCCTGTACATTCGAAACCAGGGGAGGAGCAACACCAACGCTCCCAGCACCAGCAGTAGCACCAAATCCAATGCTGACGCTGCTGATGCTTCCAGTTGTGGTGACAATTGTGGTGGCGGAGGCAATGGTAGCGGCAGAGGATGTGGTAGCGGAGGAGCTAGAGGTGGAAAAGAGTGAGGACGAGGAGGTGGAGGAGCACGAGGGCCGTCCAGAGCTTGCACCTGTACCTGAGTCTGATCCTTCCAGGCTGATCCTTCCAGGCTCCACTTGCCTGCCCGTGCTCCCAGTTTGTAACCCCATGGCCCTGACTGTGTCAGCAGGCCCTCCCCCACCAGCCACAGCATCAGCTCCCTGCCTCGATCGCACCTCTCCTGCTGCTGCTGCAGCTGCAGCATGCACCTGAGGAGCACCCTGAAGCTCCAGCTTGGCGGGTGGAGAAGCAAATTGCTGATGTTTACGTGTGGATGGCTGAGCTGCCGGGGCTGAGGTAGCGATGGCCTTATGCGATTGCTGAGCCTGCTGGTGTGCCTGCTGCTGTGCCTTCTGGGTTGCAACGGAGGGGCCAGGCAGCGGGAAGGGAGTTCCTTGGAGGAGACTTGGCAAGGGCTTCACAGGCAGTGAGCGCACGGAGCGAAGGGGGGCAGATGGGAGTGAGGCTTGGGCAGAAGGGGCAGCAGCTGCGTTTGCCACTCCTCCTGCTGATGCTGATGCTGCTGTTGCTGCTGCTGGTGGGACAAACAATGGCGGGTCTTTTGGTGCTGCCGGACCAAACACTCCTACACCTGATGTGGATGTTCGGCCATACGAGGCAGCCCTGGTGTGTGAGACGAACCTAACCGCCTTAGTGCGGCCAGCAGCAGCACCAGCAGCAGCAGCTTTACCAGTAACACTCACACCAGCAGCAGCAGCTTTACCAGTAACACTAACACCAGCAGCAGCAGCTTTACCAGTAACACTCACACCAGCAGCAGCAGCTTTACCAGTAACACTCACACCAGCAGCAGCAGCTTTACCAGTAACACTCACACCAGCAGCAGCAGCTTTACCAGTAACACTCACACCAGCAGCAGCAGCTTTACCAGTAACACTCACACCAGCAGCAGCAGCTTTACCAGTAACACTCACACCAGCAGCAGCAGCTTTACCAGTAACACTCACACCAGCAGCAGCAGCTTTACCAGTAACACTCACACCAGCAGCAGCAGCTTTACCAGTAACACTCACACCAGCAGCAGCAGCTTTACCAGTAACACTCACACCAGCGGCAGCAGCAGCCGCAGAACCCTTGGCTGCTCTTGCCATGCCTGCTGCCCCACCTTCTCTCCCAGCTCCTGCCCCCAAACCTCCCTCGCTCTTCCCCGCAGCCTCACCTCCCCCAGTCACCACCTCCCCTCGCTGCAAAGCCGAAGCAGACTCCACAGCAGCAAGGTGCAGCAGCAGCAGTCCAGGGTCAGAGCGGCGGTGCTCCAGGCGTCTTGGGGGGAGCTGCCAGAGGGAGGCGAGGTGCGGCGGGGGGAAGCGGTAGAACTGCGATGACACTTGGCTTCGCAGCTCTAGCTCCTGCATCTGCTGCCGCTGCCACGCCTCTTGCTGCTGCTGCTGCTGCTGCTGCTGCTGCTGCTGCTGCTGCTGGTGTTGAAGCTGCTGCAGCTGGTCTTGCTGCTCGTGCTGCTGCTGTTGCGGGTCCTGCTTGTTCTGCCCATGCTGCTGCTGTCGCCTCAGCTGCTGCAGCTTCTGCTGCTGCAGGAGCAAAATTTGCCGCTGCTTCTGCTGGGGGGTTGGCTGGAAAAGCACAGGGTCAGACACAATCTCAGCAGCACCAGGCGCCTGCTGCTCAGGCAGAGGGCCCAGCAGCGGGTGATAGTGCCCACCTGATAAACCACCTGGGAACCCGTGGCCCACACCTGAAAAACCACCTGGTGATGCTGCAGCGGTCACAGCTGCTGCTGCAGTCAGTGCTTCTCTCTCTGCTGCAGTCATGCCTCTGTATGAGCGCGACCGTCCCAGCCAGGGGGAGTGAGGGAAGGCTCCAGGGAACATGGGAGGGAGGAGAGGGGCGAGCGAGGGGGGAGGAGGAGAGGCGGTGAGGGGAGCGAGAGGGGGGGATTTGGGTGCTCTTGGGGCTGTGGTGGGAGGGGCGTCAAGGGCTGTGTTGCTCAAGCTAGTAGTAGAGGCGGCAGCACCAGAGGAAGCAGTGGTAGTGGTAGCAGAAGCAGTGGGAGCAGAAGAAGGAGCAGCAACAGCAGCAACAGCAGCAGCAGCAGCAGCAGCAGCAGCAGCAGAGGCAGCAGAAGAAGCAGCAGCAGAGGCATCGGGGACAGCGGAGAGGGACGGGGAGCGTCTGCGAGCAGGAGGAGGCAAGGGGAGCGCAGGGTCCTTGTTGGACGGGCTCCTCTGTAGCTGTGGTACGGCAAGCGACACCGAGGGGCGTGCCTGGGAGGAGGAATGAAGCGACACCGAGGGGCGTGCCTGGGAGGAGGAATGAAGCGGCAGAGAGAGCGCACTAGCAAGAGCACCTGCACTAGTAGACCCTGTGACTGATGTAGCAGTCATCATGACATCACCTCTTCTAGAGCTGCTGCTGGTGAGATCCTCTACTTCCAAGGCTGACACTGCCGCAGCTGCTGCAGGCTCGTAGCTGCCTCCAGACCTGCTGCCTCTCATGCTTGCCAGGCCAGGGGCTGAGGTTCGAAGAGCCGAAGCTGTTCTGGAATCATCCCAAGCCATGCCTGGCATTTCTCCCAAGCCTACCGCCGTCCCTGCGGGATTGGCTGGTGCTGCATCAATAAGGCTGTGAGGTGGCACGGCAGCATCAGCAGCAGCAGCAGCCGAAGTGTTGAGACCAACTCCAACCCTGACATTCCCAGCAGCAGGAGAAGAGGCAGAAGCGACAGGAGGAGCAGATGCGAGAGCATCGAGATCGGCAGCATCGACATCCCCACTGCTCCCAGTGGCAACGCTGCCAGAGCTGGGCCGAGAGGACCGGAAACTCGTGGTCGACCTTTCATCCATGCTGATGTGACTCGCATGCCCCCGCCGGGCAGGTAACGCTGCAGCAAGCGGTCGGGCAGCTGGAGAAAAGTTTGCGTTCGCAGCCCGAACCGAAGTGGCAGTTCCGGGAGCGAGAAAGCCCCAATCGTCTATCAGCTGCATGTCTCCGACCGACGCTGCCGAGCCTGGTTGCGCAGGCTCGGGAGACGCGGCCTGGTCCGGGGACATGGCACTAGGACGGGCGAGATTTGGAGAAAAGAGAGAGCGAGAGGATTCAGAGGCGAGTTTGGAGAGGGGAGGGGAGAGGTGGCGGCGGGAGGAGCCAGGTGAGCCGGCAATCCCCCCTGAGAGGCTCACATCCCGGGAGAATGCACGTGCTGCTGCTGAACGTGCCGCCACTGACTTGCCTCTTGCCACTGCTGCTGGGGAGGGAGGGATATTCCAATCGATCGAAGAAGTGTCTGAGAGTGTGGGCGTGCTTGTGCCCTCTGCTTCTGCCAGCTCCTCTCCTCTTCCTCCAATTGCGGCAGCACCTTCTGTTGCGCCTGCTGTTCCACCTGAAGCTGCCATGGTTACAGTTACTTCTGCAGTTTCTCTCGCCTCAGCTGCCCCTGCTCCAGCCCTTGCTTCAGCTTCCCTGTTTGCTCCCCCTTGTGCTCCTTGTCCTGACTTCACTGTCGAAACAACTCCACTACCAGGCACTAGTACACTCCCCTCAACAACCCTTATCCCCGGCACACTCCCCCCCAAGCTGCCTCCCCAACTGCCTCCCCCACTGCCTCTCCCACTGCCTTCCCCACTGCCTCCCCCACTGCCTCCCCCACTGCCTCCCCCACTTTCTCCTCCACTCGCCCCCCACCCACCACTGCCTGTAACCCCTTTTCCCCTGGCCACCCCCCACCCTCGTGGCGTGCGAGGGGAGAAGGGAGCAGCAGCAAAAGCAGCGGCAGCACGGGGAGAGGGGTCCTCTAGGTCCCTCCAGATGCGGCGGCCACGGGGGGAGGACGTGGAGAGCGGTGCAACAGCAAAGCCAGCAGGGGGAGCAGCAGCAGCATGTGACCCTGCTGCGCCCTCTCTGCTCCCTGTGGGCGATGGCAGCTTATTGGAATGCCACCACGTTGGTGACAGCAGCTTCGGAGAATGCAGGCTCGGAGAAGACGCATCCGCAGGGATGGTTTGCAGGCTCGGGCGCACTGTGGCTGTCGATGCTCCTCCCGAGCCTAGCACCGGGCCTGAGAAGTACGCCGAACGTGCTGAACGGGGCCGGCCTTCGGAAGTGGAGGTTGGGAAGGGGCGAGGGCTGGGAATGGCGAGGGTGGGAGGGAGTGTGACCGAGGGAGGGATGAACAGCCCCCCCCTCCCGCCTGCACTTCCTTGCCCACTCTCCCCTCCACTCCTCACACCACCATCATCACTCTCCCCCTCCTCTCCTCGCACCCTCCCCCCTGCCCTGGCAGTGGCAGCGGGAAGAGATGCTGCTGTGAGCAAGGGCGCGGGGGTCTGTACGCGGAGAAGTGAGCGAGGGGTGCGCGGGGGTGGAGTGTGGTTTGACTGGTGGATTGCTGGAGAAGACGCAGCAGAAGGAGCAGCAGCAGGGAGCGGAGAAGGAGCAATCGCCCCAGCAGCAGAAGCAGCAGCAGCAGCAGCAGCAGCAGCAGTAGCAGCAGCAGTAGCAGCAAAAGCGGGTGCGGATTGGGTAGAATCGGAGGAGAGGGAGAGAGGAAGAGGCATGATGGCAGGGCTGGTGCTGGGGTAGTGTGCACTAGGGTAGTGTGCACTGGGGTAGTGTGCACTAGGGTAGTGCGAGGGAGTCAAGGCAGGGACGAGAGGGGGGCTTTCAGGGGAGGAGTCTAGAGGGGACTGAGGAGCAGTGGCGAACTCCGTAGTGTGTCCCGATCGAGCTGATGCATACACCGAGCGAGCAGGCGTGTGTTCTGCTGAGGCTCCTCCTTGTAACGAAACGTACTCGTTAAAAGCCACGTGATCCGACATGCTCACAGACGAGTCAAACCGAGCGATTTCAGCCCCGTATCCAGCCAGGGGAAACCCGGGGGGGGGTTCAGAAGAAAGGGCGTAGAGAGAGGAGGAGGCGGCAAGAGAAGGAGGAGCAGACGGGTCGAAGGCCTGGGAGGGGTGTGCGGGAGTGGTGGTGGTGCCGGGAGGGGCGGTGTCGAGGCGGGCTGTGAAGAAGAATGTGGATCCCTTGCCTAGATCGCTCTCCACCCACACCTCTCCCCCCATCATGTGCACCAGACTGTGTGGGGCCAGGGGAGGACGCAATGGGGTGGTGCTGGTGATGAAACAGGTGAGGCACGGAGGAAGAGCAGGGAAAGGCAGGGAGGGGCAGGGGGAAAGGCTGTAAAGAGCACATCATGGAGAAACAATGCAATGCTAAGGTCGCTTTGCAACCCCACCTCACCATCCCCACATTTATGCACCGGACCAGACTATGAGCGGAGAAAAGCACTCACCTCTGCACGATGCTGAGACCGAGCCCAATTCCCCCGCAGTCCCGCGTGTACGACATGTCCGCCTGCACGTAGTTGTGAAAAACCTGCTCTCACTCACACTCATGGAGCACCCACTCACCTCTGCACGATGCTGAGGCCCAGCCCTATTCCCCCGTAGTCCCGTGTGTACGACGTGTCCGCCTGCACGAAGTTGTGGAAAATCTCCCCCTGCTTCTCCGCACTGATGCCAATCCCCGTGTCCTTCACCGACACCAGGATCCACACCTCCTTCTCCTCCTCTTCCAATTCCCCTTCCACTTCCTCCTCTCTGCGTCCCCCTCTTCCGACCCGCCTCCCCGACCCACCTGCTCTCCTCCCAGACTCCTCACTACTTGCTCCGCGAAGCGACTCAACCCCGCTTTGACCTGACCAACCGCTATCCATTCTCCTGCTGAACATGCCCCACATGCCAGAGCCCATGCTCGATCCCACCATCTCGCCCTCCCACCCGCTGCCCCTCCTCCTTCTGCTCCTCCCCAACCCCCCTCTGCTGATCGGCCGTGCAGCCGCTTCCCCCCCCATCCGCCCACTCATGCCTACCCTCGCACCAGCGCTCCCACTGACACTTACGTAAGTGTGGTCTAGCCGGCTTCTTAGCGCAGGGTCAGATGCAGGGATAGTCAAAGACGAGTCCAAGGCAGAGGGGTACATAGCAGGCTCGGAAGCAGCGACGAGAGAGTCGGGGGGGAAGGCACGGGAGCGGGTGCTGCTGCTGCGGCTGAAGACAGAAGACGCGTTGCTGGGTTGACTCTTCAGAGATCCCATGCTGAAAATGTTCGCCGCAGGCTTGTCCGGGAACCCCCCTGAAACAGCCCGGGGGAAGGCTGCAACTGGTGCAGGCGATGCCAGAGACCCCCCTGCTGCTGCTGTACCAAGAGAAAACCCCATTCGTTCCCCCCCTCGGCCTCCCAAGCTTGCATCCTCAGGAACCCTCGAGGAGAGAGGGGGGCTTCTGACTTTCTTCCCTGCTGCCGCCTTGCTGCTTGCCTCTGCGCCCTCCCTCCTCACAAACGTACTGCCTAGATCAGACCACTGCAGCTCTGCACTGGACTTGAATGCTCCTGAACCCCCACTCCCTCTTCTCCCGGGATTCCCCATGCCCTCGCCGTCTCCCCGTCCCTCCCCTGCTCCTTCTCGGTCCCCTGACCTCACACCGACACCGCTGGCAGCCCCACCGGCCATTTCCTCAGGTGCGGGTTCAGGTGAGTTTTCAGGTGCTGCTGCAGCAGAGAACCCAGCCGCTGCGCGTTTCTCTGTCTCACTATCCCCACTGGCACCATCAGCAAACCACACAGCAAGGTTGGTTCTCGACCCTTTTCTTGACACACTCCTCGACCCAGATCGTGAAGCACTGTGGGAAATACCTCTAGACATTCCCCCTGACCCACCAGACCCACCACCACCTGCAGCAGGACTACCGCCAGCACCACCAACACTAGCAGCACCAATTCCCCCCTTGAGTGCAGAGCCCAGCACCCCAGACCCTCCCTTCCGTGCAGACACTACCACCCCAGAACCCCCAGGGGAGCCTTCAGAAGTGGATCGATGCATGCCCCTCGCTCTCATTGCACTGCCCACCAGCTCCTCTCCCCCTGAGCTCGAATCCCCCCTCTCCTGGTAGTTGGGGCCCAGCAGAGGCCGCTCTGCTGTGCGCTGGGCTGCATGGGAGGGCAGGGAGGGGTAGGAGGAGGAGACAAGCCCTGCTGCTGCTATCCGCCCGATCGTGCGCAGGCAGCTGCTGCTGCTGCTGATCACTGCTCGAGGCGTGATGTCATCGTCGTCATCATCAGCATGGGTACGGATATCGTTGTTGTTCTTTTCATCCGAGCTGCTGCTGCCGCCGCCGCTGCTGCTGCTCCCACTGCTCTTACCGCCTCCCTTGCTCCCCCTGCTCCGTCTGCTCTCTCTGCTCCTGCGCCTGCGATGGCCAGTGGGAAGAGAGGAACCTTCTGGCTGCTGGCTGGCAGAGAGCAGCTGGGCTCGAAAGGAGTCCAGAGTCTGTCTGGCCCTCGCTGCAGCGTCCCTGTCACTCGTATCTGAATCACCAGTGTCTGACCAACCACTCTGAGGCATCCCCACCCCATCACTACTTTGCTCGTGTGCGCCCGGTCGTCTCCTCCTGCTCCTCCCACCCGAACCAAACAGCTTGGCTTGGTCACTCTCGGACCTAACCAAGCTTGCACGAGTCGCTCTAGCTATTGGACGAGCAGAAGAGTCTGAATACCAAGCAGCATCGCTTCTACCACTTTGAACTTCACTCACACTCCTCCCCACCTCCCTCCTGCTCCCTTCCCCACTGACCTCCTCTCTCCCCAGCCCACCTGCCGTCCCCTCTGGCCCAGAAGACACGTCTCTCCCCGCTTCTCCTCCTCCTCCTCCTCCTCCCCAATCCCCTCTCTCTCTCCCTGAGCTCCTCCCTGCATGACCGTTCCCCTGTCGGTGCCTGTGCCTGTGCCTCCCCGCCTTGCCTACTCGCTCCTTCCCATCACTGACTGCCTCGTGCCCTCTCTCCCTGCAAGTCCCCGCCTCCGAATCAACCTGCGGATGGAGGTTGCTCCCTGCCCCTGCATTCCCTTGCTCGAGCATTCGCTGCCGGAGAGCACGAGAAACCTCCGTGGGAACAAAGACATTGGTGTTAATGCCAGGGGTAGTATTGGAATAAGTGCTGCTGTTCGTGTTAGCCCTACGGTCAGTGTTCGTGGCGTTGGCATTGGTGTTGGGGTGGTTGTTACTGCTGCGGTTAGCAACAACGGAATGGGGGAGGGGGTCGGAGAGACGAGCAGATAAGGATCCCTCCGGCCCTTCCCGGGAGGGCGGAGGGGTGAGCGGGGGGGAGTGCGGAGGGGAGGAGGAATGAGGACACGTGGCAGATCGAGGGACGTACAGAGGTGAGTACTGCAACTGCTCATGCTCGTCTAGATGATGGGGCTTCTGATTTCCTTGCTCTTGCTCTTGCTGCTTCTCATGCTCCTGCTCTTGCGCTCGCTGTCGCTGGTGCTCCTGGTGGTGCTGCTGATCGTGGTGCTGGCGGTGGGTGTGATGGTGGCTACCGCTGTTGCCGTTGCGTGCCTTGTGGTGCATGCTGCTGCTGTTGCTGCTCCGCGTCTGCTGCTGACTGCTGCCTCCGCTCCTACCGTGGTGCCGCGTGCGAGAGGGAGGGCGGAAGAGCAGGGTGATCTCAAGGTCCACGGACCCTTGGTGGGTGAACTTTATTGCGTTTCCCACTGCCATTTCACGCCATGCCATTTCACGCCGTGCCATGTGATGCCGTGCCATGTGATGCCGTGCCATGTGATGCCGTGCCATGTGATGCCGTGCCATGTGATGCCGTGCCATGTGATGCCGTGCCATGTCATGCCGTGCCATGGCCATGTGATGCCGTGCCATGTGATGCCGTGCCATGTGATGCCGTGCCATGTGATGCCGTGCCATGTGATGCCGTGCCATGTCATGCCGTGCCATGTGATGCCGTGCCATGTGATGCCGTGCCATGTTACATCATGCCAAGCCATGCCATGCCATGCCATGCCATGCCATGCCATGCATGCCCCAGACGGCCCACGCAAGGACATCGGGGTGATGGAAAAAAAAAAAGAGGGTTTGGTGAGTCAGCAGCCATTGTTGCACGTGCTGCCTCAAACGAAGAAATAACAAGACAGGAAACTCTAAACACACTGCAAACACAGGAACCTATGAGAAAAGGGGCCAAGCCAAGCCCCCCTTCAGGACTTACCCAGGTTGATGATGCACTGCTGCAGCCTGCCTGGGTCCCCCACCAATGTGTGAGGCACCCCCTCCGCCACCTGCCATGAGAACAGCAGCTGCTTCTGCTCCGCCCGCACCTGGGGGTGGGAAGGGAGAGAGGGGGAGGCCAAGAGACGCCAGGGAAGAACTCACACGGCGCTGAGGCAACAGAGGCGCACTGACTGCTACAGATCGTGCAGACTCTATCCAGCGCCAGCTGCTATGCTTCCAACCCCGCGAGATCCAAAACGGTGTTGTGGAGTTGAAAAAACGGCCCAAAAATCTACCCTGGTGTCAGTCGGTCCGTCAGTCAGTCCGCCAGTCAGTCAGTCGGTCCGTCAGTCAGTCTGTCCGTCAGTCAGTCGGTCCGTCAGTCAGTCCGCCAGTCAGTCTGTTGGTCCGTGAGCCAGTCAGTCAGTCAGTCAGTCAGTCGGTCCGTCAGTCAGCAACGCGAGGCCTACTTTACTGTTCTTTGTTATTCGACTGGACCCACCTGCAGCATTCTCATGGTAGAGCCAACAACATCCCTGAGGGCGAAGGGCACTTTATCCAGCGCCAGCTGCCCCGCCTCTATCCTCGCCAGGTCTAAAACGGTGTTGGCGATGTTCAGCAGGCAGTCGGCAGATTGTGCCACCACCGTCAGATGCTCGTGCAGCTCCACCGTCAGATCGTTCCGCAGCGCGAGGGCGTCAGAGGAAGGGTGTGTGGCGAGGTCGTGCGGGTCGTGGGGGTCATGGGGGTCGTGGAGTGACTCGAGGGCGTCTAGAGCCAGTGCTGTCATGCCGATGATGCCGTGGATGGGCGTGCTGGGGTTGGGGGGGACAAGCGCGAGAGGGGCAGGTGGGGAACATGGGGAGTGTTGTGATCTCATATTTGATACAACATACATAGGCTAGAATTATATGTGTAGCACTTGTATAGATTGGGGGTTGTTTAATGTACCCTCCAACCACATTTTGTGGTTGGTGGGGATTGGTCCTTAGCTTGACCAATCCCAACCAACACACATTTGTTTGGGCCACAGGCAAGCTCAACCATTGGCCAACTCATTGGCCAATAGGGGTGATGGGGGTGATGGGGGGGTGATGGGGGTGATGGGGGTGATGGGGGTGATGGGGGTGATGAGAGTGATGGGGGTGATGGGGGTGATGGTTGGTGAGGGGGGGTGATGGGGGTGATGGGAGTGATGGGGGGTGATGGGGGTGAGGGGGGGTGAGGGGGGGTGATGGGGGTGATGGGGGTGATGGGGGGTGATGGGGGTGATGGGGGTGATGGGGGTGATGGGGATGATGGGGGTGATGGGGGTGATGGGGGTGATGGGGGTGATGGGGGGGTGATGGGGGTGATGGGGGTGATGGGGGTGATGGGGGTGATGGGGGTGATGGGGATGATGGGGGTGATGGGGGTGATGGGGGTGATGGGGGTGATGGGGGGGGTGATGGGGGTGATGGGGGTGATGGGGGTGATGGGGGTGATGGGGGTGATGGGGGTGCAGGGACTGGAGGTGGCGGGACTGGAGGGTGTAGAACGCAAGGGTTGTCATGGAAGTGCTGGTGGAGTGAAAAGGGACGTGCCATGTGGGGGGCTACACATACGGTGAGCTGGAAACTCCCATAGATGGGTACGTGCGGCTGGGCACTGTGCAGGCTCGTACCGGATCTCGTGGCTCATGTTGGCGAGGAATTCTGTCTTTGCCCGCCCTGCCTCCTCCAACTCCTCCTTTGACCTCTTCAGATCCTGCACACACGCTCGCACGCAGGGAGAGAGGGGGGAGCGGGGAGACGAAGGAGGGATGGTGTGAAGCAGAAGCAGCGTGGCTAACAAGCAAGCCAGGTGGATGCTCATTGCTCGTGCCCCTTGGCTCCAGCTGCCAACACATTCCCTCTCCCCTTTTCTTTTCACTGCCTGCATCTGCATGGTGCGTCTAGCCACCTCGCCCTCCAGCAACAGATTAAGCTGCCTCAGCCCCTCACGCTCAGCTTCACAGTTGCCTCCACCTCAAATCCTCCCCTCCCCCCTCCATCCCGTCCTCCCTCACCCCATTCTCACCTCATTCACTGCCTGCATCTGCTCGGTCCGTCTCGCCACCTCGCCCTCCAGCGACAGGTTCAGCTGCCTCAGCCCCTCTCGCAGCCGTCTCGGGTCCCTCACAGCAGCCGCCAGCAGCACAGCGCCCAAGCTCAGCACCACCACCAGCACCTGCACCACTGTCCCTCTCGCCCTCTCCCTCACTCACCTCATTGACTGCCTGCATCTGCTCGGTTCGTCTCGCCACCTCCCCTTCTAGAGAAAGGTTGAGCTGCCTCAGCCCCTCTCGCAGGCGCCTGGTGTCTCTCACAGCGGCCGCCAGCAGCACAGCGCCCAAGCTCAGCACCAGCACCAGCACCTGCACCTGCAGCACCGTCCCACTCGCCGTGTCCCTCACCAACGGCCCGCGCCCCTGCGCCGTGCAGAAGCACACAATGAGGACGACTATAACGAGTACGAGCCCCGAGCCCTTGCGGTGGAAGCGAATGCACGCCCAGAGGACCCCCGGGAAGAGAAGGTAGGGGAGGGCGGCAGTGGCAGTAGTGGCGGCAGGGACAGCAGTGGTGGTGGTGGAGAAAGTAGTGGGGGCTGCAGGGGTGGAGAAGATGAGACCAGCCGTGGCAGCGTTGAGCAGAAGCAGAAAGATGAACTCCCAGAAGCGCAGGGAGGCAAGGGTTTTGCAGATGCTGACCACCAGGGGGTTTTTCAGGAGTTTTTGCAGGTGGTAATGGATGGGGCGGTGGAGGGATAAATAGTTGGGGTTGGAGTGGGGGGGGTGGGAGGGGATGTGGGAAGGGAAAGGCAGAGTGCGGAAGGAGGGGGGGGTGTGGAGCCTTGCGCTGCTGCCTACCGTATCTCCCACCGACTCCAAGTCTGCCTCGCTCCCCACACCCTCTCTCCCCCCACCTACACCTGTCATCAGGCTTACGCGCCGTCGCCCGTGCTGCTCGCCCAGGGGCGGCTGGAGACGTGTGGAAGAAGCAAAGACGGAATTTGCTTCGGACCGAGGCGATTCAACAGCGCCCAGTTCCTCCTCCTCTTCCTGCCCCTCCTCCCGCTCCTGTCCCTGCTTCCCCTCCTGCCCCTCTTTCCCCTCCTTTCCCTCCTGGCTGGGCTGCCGGGCGCAGCAGCACAGGCAGGAGGCGGTGATCTGCAGGAGCAGCGGCACTGTCAGCATGATCCCCGTGAACGTCCCTAGCGTTCTTAGCCCTGCCGCCACTGCCACGCTGTCACCCGCCAGGTCAGCATCCCATGCGCTGACTACGACCGCGACGACCCCTTCGAAGAGCAGAGAGACCAGGAAGGAGAAGAGTGCGAAGAGGAAGATGTCTTTGACTCGGTCTAGAGGGGTGAGGTCGTGCGGGCGTAGGCGGTGCAGCACGCGTGTGAGGAAGAAGGAGAGGCAGAGCACGGAGGCTGTGAGGAAGGCAGCGATTGTGAGGGATGCGAGGGCGATCTGCAGGGTGGAGAGGTGTTCAGCGAGGTGCCATGCGGCCCCGGTGTACACGAGGAGTGCACCGCCCAGGAATATGCCCGGCCATGTGCCCATGCCGAACACCTAATAGCGAGGGGTGAGGGGGAGGAAGAGGAAGGATTGGCTCGTGGGGGAAAAGGAAACGGGATTTGAAACACCAGGAGCATGCTTGGGATAGGGTTTCAAGACGTAGGGCTGCCGGGTGGGATGGGGCTGCAAAAAGAATTAGGCGAGAAGATGCAAACATAGGGTTGAAGGAATAGGGCAAGGCTCACGAGCACGGCGTAGAGCGCAAGGCCAGAGGTGGGCCAGACGGGGCAGGGCACGAGCAGCGCGTCCCCGATCTTGCCCAGCCACGCCATGCCCAGCGACGCGCCGTACAGCACCAGCGCCACCACCAGCAGCAGCAGCGCGCGCCAGTACCACCACAGCCGCCGCGCGTCCACGCAGAAGGGCCACAGCGGCCGATCGCCCCCGTGCACGAAACACGCTATGATGGCCGCGGAGGAGCATGTGGAGGGTGGGTCTGAGGTGCACGAGGGGTCTGTGGTGTCGGAGTCGGAATGGCTTAGCTCGACGTCGTCCTCCCCTGAACTGCTCCCTTCGTCATCACTTGACGAACGCTCTTCGTGATCGCCTCGTTCTCTACTCGCCCCGAGAGTCTCCACATCGGCCTCCTGTCTCCTCTCGCGACCCGTCTCTCTGTTTCCCTCGGTAACCTCCTCCCTCCCCCGTGGATCATCTGAGCCTGCCCTCGCTGCTGCTGAAAGCGCGTCAATCCCAAGGCTGCCTGTATCGCCGACGCCTGCTACCGCGCCGGACCGATCCCCCGCGGGTATTTCCGCGCTTGCGCCCTGCGCCTCGCGCGGTTCCCCCTGCTCCAGGTCCCAGTCTTCCGCGCGGAACGAGGCTAGCACGGGGAGGCCAGACAGTTCGCCTTGGCTTACCCGCGCAAGGTCCGCCTGCGGAGATTGGTCGATACTGATAACGGCCGCTTCGGTGATGCCACGTGGCAAGAGCCGTTCGTCCGGATAAGGAGCCTTGATTGGTGGGTGCAGCAGAAGCTGCGGCGACTCCATGCTGTTGGCTTCTGTCACGGCACCAAACAGCGGTTGCTGCTACTAGCACGAGTACTAGCAGCTCTCAGCAGGCGTGCTGATGCTGATACAAAGACATAATAGAACAACCGTGCAGTCGTAGTCCATGGCGGCTCGTCAAAAAAAGGCCTGCTTTCTCAAACAGATGGGTTACTTTCTAACAACCTGCACTTCAATCGAAAACGCCGAAATGGTGACGTGAAGAACAAAACTATCCCTACGTCGTACCTCTTATGTCAATAAGACTGTCAGCTAACTCCCTCGGACCTCACGGCTCGAAGTGTAAGAATCGAGCCACGCCAGAAAACGCCCAACGACTTGTTTCAAGGATTGATCAGTGAAAGGAACCTTGCGTTGAGACTTTCCGCGATCGTTTTCGGCATGTCTGACTACCAGAATCACTACAGACACACCCAACAAGAACAGTAGTATCGTACGGAGTGGTGGTGTTTTGTCGAGCAACAGGGGAAAGTGACCGCCCAGATGGTGCTGGTCTTGGGGGTTGGGGTTGGGTTGGGTGGGGAGGCGGGCACAGGGAACTGTTTTGGCCACAGTATGATGGTCACTGGTTGCTAATCACGGTGTAAGGAGCCCTCAACTCAATAGTGGAGTCAATACTGGTGTACTAAACAAAGTTTAAGGAGAAAAGCCAGTCACCACCTGTAAGAACAGTATATAGTCCATTAGACTAATTACGTTATTTTCTGCAAACATGGTCACACAGGAGCTGCTAGAAGCCAAGCTTGTATTCCATTATCTCATGCAAGTCCAGACGGGGAATTTCCACCTTATCCCCATATCCTGCAAGATCAGAAAGAAACTTTATTAGGAACGTAAACAGAGGTAAAAGTTCACGAAAATGTGATGGCTTACAATGGCTAGATTGTAGCAGTTTGAGGGAATGCACTAGGGGCCACTTACCAACCACATCTTCCACTGCGAGCTCATCAAGAGTACCCATCATTGAATGCAGGCCCAGGTGGGATGATGGCAGACCGGGCAACCTCTTGAATCTGAAAACGCATAAGCGGAAAACACATGAATCAGTGCAGATTTCGCCATCACCATGCCGCCAGCGAAGAGACACAAGCAGCAGCAGCCTCAATGATTCATGTCCAGGACGGAATATTTGGACATTGATCAGCCTTACTTGGAAAGTATTTGCCGCTCCATGTGCAGCTGAGCAGGGAAAGCGGAACCGTAGACCCTACCCAAGTTCATGTCAACAGTTCCCTCCTGCTCCTTCCTTCTCTGAAAACAGAAACTCAGAGACAATAAGACCGAAAAACGTCAGGGGGCTATCAATACCTATTCATTCGTTGCGCAAGGATCATTTCTCGGCCTATAGGTGTTATGGCCAGAGATTCGCGAAAAAGGTAGTCGAACTAGCAAGCCATAAGGTGACGACTGCTACAAAACAATATCTCTTGTACACAGATGATTCGTATACGTGAAATCTGGTGCGCAAGCGTTTAGGAGTAGCCATATGTGGGTAAACGAACACAGGGGAGGCGGACAGCGTGAGCGAAGGTCATACCTGGATACCGGTTCGCAGACGTATAAGGATCGGGGAAAAAAGCCATCACCCACCTGTCTCTGAATTCCGTCTACTGGATGAGCAAAAGTCACTTCGTCGCGAAGCTGATGGAGACCAGATCGCAGAACATCGCGAGGAGCCTCAAGATGCGGAAGGGACATGCTTGGATCCTGATCGAAATAAGTGACAAAGTATCACAAAAACCGCACGTCAGTTGGCACGTAAGCTATCGACCTAATGGAGCGAGCGCGAAACGGGGACTAGCTACTGCACAAAAAGCTCCTACCATTGCTTTTTGTGGTTCCTGGAAACCTTTCTGAAGCCAACAATTTCACAGCAACAATCGAGCCTTGAAGCAGCAGAAAGTCGATTATCGTCCCCGCTAACAGGTACCTTTCTGATTGAACACATACATACCCTATGTTTCTGTAGTGCATACAGACTGGCATAGGGCATCTTCTTTTTGAATGATTGCCTTCACTTACTAACATGTGAAACAAACACACCTTCAAATGGCATCTTCTTTCTTCTTTTTGAATGATTGTCAACTGAATCAGCTTCTGGTTTGCTTGATTGTGCATTTTCTGATCTAGTGTTTGTTTGGAACCAGGATTTTATCTTATTTCATACAAATTCGACACTAACTCTACAATACATTATATAGAAATACATATATATTAAGCCTAATAATATTACAAAAATATATAAGTTATAGATATAAACTACACCATTTTAGCTTTTGCACCAATCCGAGCAACAAATAACTAAACAAAATTGATTCATTGCCTTCAAGTTGCTCAAAGCACAAGCGGGTGGAAACACGGATTGCAGTCGACATTCAGTGGGACGCAGGGGCTTCATTTCGCTTTGAGTGCAATTCCATGTATGCCCCCTTTCGCTCCATCAGCTGCTCGTGTGTGCCGACCTGAGAGCATGAACCAGCGAAGATGAATATGCCAATGAGCTAAGTGGGTCGGCTGGACTAATGCACCGGACTTCCCAGTCGGCCGGACAAATCCACTGGACAAATGAAGAAGTGCTCCACTCACCTCGATGATCTTCCCATGAGACACAACCACTATTCTATCGGCAGAACGGATGGTGGATAGCCTGGTCATGGGCAACAGGGAGCATGATGTCAGGGATGAAAGTGGGGGGAGAGAGAGAAAGAGCAGCGAACTTTACGGAACAAGTGGGTAGCATGGGTTGAGGAGCGTGGCTCCATGACAAGCATGCACTGGCTGAGAAGATATCGATGGAGAGGAGAGGAAAGTTTGCCTGGCTGGCCACAACATACCGGTGTGCAATGACCACTCTGGTTTGCCTTCTGCCCCCACTTGCATGGGAGTCGTCATGAATGACTTGGTTCAATGCCATCTGCTCATGCACACACAAAAAAAGCAGATGCATATTTACAGACCAAGGGGCCAGCAGCAATGGTTCATGGAAGCAGCAGCCCGGAGGAATGAAGGGACGGCAAGGGTTGACGGGACAACAGACCCTTCATTCTCCGAGAATCATTCTCAAATCCAGTGCTCATGCACTCTCCCATCACCCCCTCACCTACACATACTTCCCGTTCTCCCACCTATCCTCCCTCCACTCCCTCACTCCCCATCCCCCGCACCTGCACGTAGTGCTCGCTCTCAGCATCCAAAGCACTTGTGGCCTCATCCAGGAACAGCAGCTTGCTCACTCTTTTTACCCCATAGCACACTTTCCACTCACCCCCACCCCCTCTCCCCACCTCACCTGCACGTAGTGCTCGCTCTCAGCATCCAGAGCACTCGTGGCTTCATCCAGGAACAGCAGAGTGGGGTCGCGCACTAGAGCCCGGGCAATCGCTATTCTTTGCTTCTGCCCGCCGCTCAGCCGCGCGTTGTCCACCACCGTGTCATAACCCTCGGGCAGCTCGGAAATGAATTGATGCGCGTTGGCCTGGGTCGCTGCCTGGACAATGTCCTGCCGGGAGAGTTCCTTGCTGCTTCCGTATGCAATGTTGGATGCCACGTCTCTGCTGAATAGAAGGGGCTCCTGAGGAAGAGCATGCGGAATGGGGAGGGAGGAGGGCACGAGTGTTGATACTACTCAAGTGTGCATGGTCCAGATGCACATGTGTGGCTGGAGGCTAATCCATCATAAGCCTAAATCATTTGCCATACATACATGAATTGTGTGGTGAGAGTGGTGAGTGTGTGGTGAGAGAAGTGAGTGTGTGGGTTTAGATGGATCAGGATGGGTCTGGATGGACAGGGATGATTTTGGATGGGTGGGGATGGGGCAGGCAGGGAGGCGAGCTCACCTGGCTGACGACCCCAATGTGGCTTCTCAGCCATGCGATGTCAACCTCTGGTAGAGGCACGTCGTCAATAAGCACCTGTGAACAGACAGATGGAGGAGTTACAGACAGTATGAATCATGCACAACAGTATCTACCATCAATATACCTCCAACTACAGCCACCCGCATGTCACTCACCTCCCTTCATCTCACCTGCCCCTCTGTGGGCTCGTAGAGTCGCTGCAGCAGCCTGAGGAGGGTGCTCTTGCCGCTGCCGTTGTGCCCCACCAGTGCCACCAGCTCGCCTGGCTGGATGGTCAGGCTTATGCCCTCCAACACAAGAGCCTGCAGGGGGCGTGGGGGAGGGAGGGAGGGAGGGAGGGAGGGAGGGAGGGAGGAAGATAGTTGGCGGGCACACCTCAGGGCAGACTCGATGTTCGAAGCCGGATAGAGAGCAGTTGGTACAAACACGTAGAGCGACTGGTATTCTCATGTAGAGCAGTTACCTCACAATGGTGCTTTCAGCAAGGCGGGTGGGCGCACCTCAGGGCGGGTGGGGTAGCGGAAGGAGAGATCGCGGAACTCCAGCTTGCCGCTCAGCGACGGCAGCACTCGGCCTGGAGAGAGACAGGGAGGCAGCAGAGGAGGGATGAGAGCAGGCCTCTGGTAAACAGGGTGATTCACCCTTATGAACCTTACTATAAGGCTGGGTTTGACGATGCACCCTTTTTTATCAGAGTGGTCAACATTTTTACCCTTACAAGAAAAAGTGTTTGGTTATACCACACTGATATTTCAGAGTTATGTGGTGTAGTGACACTGATGATATTGAGTTAGATCTAACTGAGAATGGTAAGATTACTCGCGGAAAATGCTACCTCGTTCAGATTAGCCTACTTCAAGTAACGAACTTGAGTCATACACGGAAATTCCTCTACGCAACTCACTACAACACCATCAACTCGACCATTTCGGAATGTTCAGCTACTTGTAGAAAAACCATATTATGTTTGCACCCTTACTAGAAAGAGTAGTTTTTGTGAGCACCGTTTCAGAAAAAGTGCAAGCGGGGTGTTGGCCTTACGTGAAAGAGTAGCTCAAAACCTAACCAGAGGCCTGGATGAGAGCATGGGAGGACGGCAGCATGCGGCACGAGTGATTCACACACGAGTGAGAGCCACAATCGCCTTCAGCCAGCACTCATTAGGCCCTGAGTGAGCAGTCCCACTCATCATCACCTTGACTCCCATGCACGCACGCACACTCATCGTGCCCTTGAGTGACATGCTTCGGATTTGGCAGGTCGAGCAGTTGGAAGACCTGGTGGCAGGCGCCGATTGAGTCCATGAGAGTGGCCCAGTGGTCGCCCGCGCAAGCCATGCTGCGCACTCCTATCCCTGTGCACTCGCACTCACCACGACCCTGAGTAGCCAGCTGCTCCGGGTGCGGCAGGTCGAGCAGTTGAAACACGCGGTGGCAGGCGCCGATGGAGTCCATGAGGGTGGCCCAGTGCCCGCCTGCACACCACATGTTGTATGCCATCCAGTCTGTGCATGCACACTCACCATGGCCTTGATTGAGCTGCTCTGGGTGTGGAAGATCCAGCAGCTGAAACACGCGGTGGCAGGCGCCGATGGAGTCCATGAGGGTGGCCCAGTGGCCGCCCGCACACCACATGTTGTATGCCATCCAGTCCGCGTACATCACAAACTGCGTCACCTGCTCCGCTGATATGCGCCCTGTCGTTAGCGCTCCCCCGGCCATGATCACCACTGCCACCTGCAGGGTGGGGAGCGGTGGGGGAGTGTGTTGGGACGTGTCAAAACGAGAGTGGCCCAGTCACAGAGCTCGTCAGCGCACCACATGTTGTAGGCCATCCAGTCCGCATACATCACAGACTGCATCACCTGCTCCGCTGATATGCGCCCTGCCATCAGTGCCCCGCCCGCCATTACAACTACTGCCACCTGCAGGGTGAGAAGTGGGATGGAAGTTCTTGAGCCGACTCAAAAGTCATTACCAGCCATTGCGCAACTAGTGCCACATGCACTGGCACGTAGAATGCATCATCATGGGCCAAGCAACACCGCGGCCCATGCACCACCATGGGCCATGCACCACCATGGGCCATGCACCACCATGGGCCATGCACCACCATGGGCCATGCACCACCATCAGCATGCACCTGCCTCAGCATGTACTACCATGGAGGTGTTATAGACAATGTTGTCAGCGCATGTCCACAACCCATTCGCCACACTCCGCCGCAGCCCCACCTCCACCAGCCTCCGGAGAGGCTCGTCGTACCTGGCAAGGGAAGGCAAGGCAGGGAAATGCAAGGCAAGCACAAACGCATTTGCATGGAGTTTGGAAAGGATGTTATAGTTCGTGCACTCCAAGCAGCCAGTGAATAAGAAGAAATGCAACGCATTGGAATGGAAATACAGGAGATGAAGGACCTACGGTTTAGCAAACAGGACAGCCCCCCTTCCCGCCTGACAGCCCCACTTGCCGCCTGACAGCCCCACTTGCCGCCTGACAGCCCCACTTTCCGCCTGACAGCCCCCCCTCCTCTCCTCCTCACCTCTTCACCTCCTCGCTCTCTGTGCCAAACGTCCGCACCACTCGAACGAGAGACACCGTCTCCTCTGCAACCTGGAAAGTGGGGTCATTGGTGGTGTGGATGGGTGTGGACGGGTGTAACTACCATGAGAATTCAAGGAAGAAAGTATCATGGGCGATATGAGGTAGGGGCTCACAGATCGGATACAAAGCTTGCATCACCCGAATAAAGCGTCACCCTGATACTGAGTCGTGCAGAAATTGGGTCAGTAGGAGGAGGTGGGCGCACCTCATTGGCTGCTGCCTCATTGTCTTGTAACACCATGGAGCTCAGTCGGGAGAAACTGCATGGTGAGACAGGCGGAGAGCAGGGCAGACGAGAAGCAGGGAAGGCAGAGAGCAGGGCAGACGAGAAGCAGGGAAGGCAGAGAGCAGGGCAGACGAGAAGCAGGGAAGGCAGAGAGCAGGGCAGACGAGAAGCAGGGAAGGCAGAGAGCAGGGCAGACGAGAAGCAGGGAAGGCAGAGAGCAGGGCAGACGAGAAGCAGGGAAGGCAGAGAGCAGGGCAGACGAGAAGCAGGGAAGGCAGAGAGCAGGGCAGACGAGAAGCGGGGAAGGCAAAGAGCAGGGCAGATGGAGAGCAGGGAAGCACGGAAGGAAGGCAAGGACTATTGGACCACCAAGACACTTCGGCTGGATATCCGGAGAGAAGGAAAACAGCGAGTTGGTTGGGAGGCATGGAGGAGGGGTGGAGGAGGGGTGGAGGAAGGGTGGAGGAGGAGTGGAGGAGGGGTGGAGGAGGAGTGGAGGAGGGGTGGAGGAGGAGTGGAGGAGGGGTGGAGGAGGAGTGGAGGAGGGGTGGAGGAGGAGTGGAGGAGGGGTTGAGGAGGAGTGGAGGAGGGGTGGAGGAGGAGTGGAGGAGGGGTGGAGGAGGAGTGGAGGAGGGGTGGAGGAGGAGTGGAGGAGGGGTGGAGGAGGAGTGGAGGAGGGGTGGAGGAGGAGTGGAGGAGGGGTGGAGGAGGAGTGGAGGAGGGGTGGAGGAGGGGTGGAGGAGGAGACCACGAGCGAAAGAGAGGGGGTAACAACACATGAGGTAAGGCCACAGAGGGCAGCATGGAGGAGTGCGGAAGCTAAAGAGATTCAAAGAGTGGAGAGCAGAACAGGAAATGTTTGGCAGCGGAGTGCAGCATGAGCCTGTCCGTCACACGTATGTGCCATACACCACGAGAAGGTACCACATGACGCCACAGAGGGCAGCTGTAGAGAGCACAGTAAGAGCTATTGGGGACGGGAACCGCATGTGACTGTCAGTCACACGCACTTTCCGTAGACCACGAGCAGATACCACATGATGCCACAGAGGGCAGCTGTAGAGAGCCAAGTATGAGCTATTGAGCACGAGAACTGCATATGCCTGTCTGTCTCACATACTCGCCATAGACGATGAGAAAGTACCACATGATGCCACAGAGGCCAGCTGTCATAAGGGCCATCTGCCAGCTCAAGCGAAGCAGGAACACAAACGTTCCTATGGCCTGCACACACACGTGTTGTGGCAGATAAGGTTGGGGAATGGTGGATGGGGGATGTGGAATGGGGGATGGGCAAATGAAACAGTGGAAGGGGTATAAGGGCACATAAGGGACAGGACAGAGACGTCCTTAAGCAATGCTTGGCCATGCTGGGGTGGGGTTTGGGAAAAGGCATGGTGAAGGAATGAGGGCATGCGGTGGCATGAGAAATGCAACAGGCATAAAAACGGTGGGTTTGTGAGGGGGTTCCCAGCATACCCCACCCCGTTCCTCCCATTCACCACCCCCTCCTTCATTCACCACCCCCTCCCTCATTCACCACCCCATCCCTCCCTTCCCAACACCCACCAGCAGCGAGTGCCGTAGCACGATGTTGAGATCGCTGCCCATCGTGTATCCCGCAGCCTGGCAGTCGGAGCCGAGGCGGGATGTGAGGTCGCCCACCGACTGGCCGTCAAAGAAGGCAACGTCCTGCCGGATGAGCGTCTCGTATAGCGCCAGCCGCATTCGCCGCATCTAAATGAGACACCGTGGGAAGCAAGGGAACGCGGGAGAGGGAGAGTATGAAGGGGGGAGAAGCAGATTGGGTTTGACGGTGCCAAAGGGAGCATGTGAGAGCGTAAGAGCAAGAGCGCAGAGCGAGAGCGTGTAGCATGGAAGAGAGTAAGAGCTAGAGTGTGTTGAAACAGCAGGTGCAGTGCCGGTGCGCGTGAGCTCACCAATTGGACATTGAAAATGGTGAAAGAGGCAGCCCTCAGCCCACTGCACGGATCACGGCAGCACGAGCACAGGAAAGAGCAGGTACCATCAGAACATGGTTAGAACACGCACGCACTCACGCAGCCACCGGAACACGGCAGACAATCACCTGAAGAGGCCGCAGGCGAGAGTCATGGCGATGAGGAGGCGCACGTTGTGGTTGAACTGATCTGTGAGCCCGTGAGACGCGTTGAATATGGCCACCGCTAGGTAGTGCGGTATGGCCACCTCTGATAGCTGGTGGCGCACGGATGAGAGCGGGAGGGGGATAGGTGGGGGAGAAAGGAGAGAAGGGGGTCACATTGACGGCTGGGAGGGGAGGGGAAGGGAGGAAGAGGAGGGGAAGGAAGGGGAGAAGGAGCTCCAATGGAGGTGGAGGGAGAGGAAGGGAGGAGGACTGACGGCGGCGAGGGCGAGGCAGAGTGAGGCGAGGACGAGCATGGTCCTGTTGGGCGCACAGAACCGCCAGAGCTTGCGAATGGCGTCCCACAGCTCGCCTCGCCGTGGATTCCCGTCCCCGCGGCTCCCATTCCCGCTCCCACCACTCCCACTGCTATCCCTACCGCTGCTGCTATCGTTGCTGCTTTTACCGCTGGCCCATTTCCCGCGTGCTGCCTTCCGTCCAGCCAGCTGCTGCAGGTCCCACCAGCTCCCGCCTGGCAGCACGGCGCGCAGCATAGTAATGGCCCGCCGCAATGGCGCTGGGACCCTGCGCGTTCCGCGCCTAAACGTCTCCGAAAAGCCCGCAGTTTTATCCGGCGGTACGGCATTTCGTTGAACCACGTTCTCCTCTGGCTCAGTGTCGTCTACGAGACGCTCGGAACCATCATTTTGCGGTTTCCGTTTCCGCATCGTCGTAGAGTTTGTTCTCGTCCTCTATGCCTGTATCGGGGGGCATTTGTACCTGATTCGTATGATTAGTAGGACATTCAGCGCCTTCAGGATATAATTACGATACAATTTCAACTAGCTAAGAACCTTCGGCTTGCGGCTTCCCTTGGTCAAGAACATTCCGGTGGTCATGACCTGAATTTGTTCCAGGGATTTGGTGGCACATTCCAGTCGTGCGAAGTTTTAAGCGGTATATTTTTGTAACGAATGGTTTCTCTAAGTAACAGTACGTTGCAGAGCGGTGACGGTCCGGACTTTCACGGCTTTTACATAGCAGAGGTTGGAGTGTGAAATTGCCCCCTTTTGTCAACCATCTGGCTCTCATGTTCTCTCCGCTTCGCGCAGCGCTGTGCGCAGCGCTCCGCGCGCCCCCCTGTTCTGCGAAAACCTGCCAAACCCCGCGTGTTCGCCGCGGAACCAGCCCAAGTCAAATCTCACGAACCAATGATAAAGGTGGTGGTGGCCCAACTCTCGTCACCCATGATCCACTCTGGCCGTGCAGCACGGCGCGCAGCATAGTAATGGCCCGCCAACTTTCGAAACCATTCCAGTTGGCGAAATGAGGACCCAGATCAGTCAACACTTCGCTGAGGTCGCCAAATTACACGGAACCCAAGGTCACCAAACCCACCACCATGCATCAAACCCCAAGGGAACCCACCCCAACCCATCATCCTCACACTGCTGCTCCCTCTGCCGTTGAACACTCGAAGTTGAAACCCTTAGGACGCGGCACCTGTTTGGCATTTGCCAGGATCGATCGCGGGAGGGGATCGATGTGCTGCTTGTACAGTGAATTGGCGACGTCGTCAATGCCTGGTATCCGTATATCGCATGACGTCGAAAATGTACAGTAAAATGGTACCCAAAATGGTGGCACCTGCAGCTCGCACGATCGATGTGCTGTGGTGCACACATCGACCGTGCGTTTGGGTTGGCGGAAGAGCACGTCGCGCCAGAGGTGACAGTCGCGATCGATCGGCGTCGTCCACGGTCACAGGCCAAAAACTCTCGAGTCGTTGCGAATGAAATTGCTGGGCGACTAGCTACGCTCTGCCCTGATTGGCTGCGCCTTGCAGTGTGTTGGTGTATTCCGACGCAGCTCCAACCTGCCCGACCCTGCAATTTCGATCCTGGCACCTATAGCTCGATGTGTCTACCCCACTGCAAATTGCAAATTTGCAGTGTGGGCACATCGGTGTGCCGATCGATGTGCCATGATCGATGTGAGACCCCGAACCACCCGATCCTGGCGAAATGAAAACATGTGCCGCGCCCTTACTGTTGTAGGCCTCCTTGATTCTCCCGCAGCGGCTATGTAGCCGTTTATGTTAGCGCGAACTTCCGACGCACGCGGCTCGAAACTGAGTCGATTTTGTGGGGACTTCTCCTGTTCCACCGTCGTCAGCGTCACTTGCGTTGCCTTGCATAACTTGTGCTCTCCAGGCAGTTTGCTCGAATGCAAGCATTTAAGTCAGCACAGCACACTCCCAGCCGACATTTCAACCTCATTGCTCAACGATTTCGACGCCGAATACATACACCCTCTTTCTCGCCATTGTGAGTTCGGTTATAGTGAAGTCAAGATGGGAAAAGCACGGTTAACGGTGGTTAGATTAAGTCTAGGTATGGTTCAATCAGACAAATCGAAGGTAACTAGGTTTTCCATCAGTTCAGCACAGTTCAGTGTAGTGAGAAAGAGGGTGTACTTTACGGTCTCCAACCTCCCTTGTGCAACTCGACTTCTCGTCCGCGGGTGCAATAGTTCCTTCCACTATCCTTTTGAACTTCACGACTTCCAACTTCGGCCCTTTCAAGATTGAAGCTTCTGCTGATTTTTGGCAAGTTGCTCAAGCATCAAGACTTTCATTTTAAAACTACGCCACAATAGTTCTCTTCAACCGATTTATTGCTACCGAGCGTACCTTTTTTAAATATTTTGCACGTTGAACTTGTACTGATTGTCAGAATTATATTTATTATAACTGCATGACGTTCTAGCTGTAGTGTAGTTATTAAGTTTGTAGGTGGTGCACCTCTTTACTTGTTTCCTTGCTATATGTACTTCGAAACTATAGTGAAGAATACATTCTCCAATTTCTCCCTTCCAACTCACTCGATACCTCGCCTAGGAGAAACCCGCTCGACACTCTAGTTGGGCCTAGGCTACTAAGCCTAGGCCCAAGCTTAATCTACTCGTTCGTTCATCTTAATCTCTTGACATGTTATCGGAGCGAATTACGTCCTGGCCTGTGGGCCCGCCCTACACTTCCGGTGCTAAGATTTTCCGGTCGCGCGCCTAGGGCGCGTGACGATTTTTACCTTGTCCCGCCCACGGGCGTGTGACTCCTTCTCTGCCCGTCGCGCGCCCCGTGGCACGCGACGGTGCCCTTCATCTGCCCGTCGTGCGCCCCGTGGCACGCGATGGTGCCCTACTCGTCGTGTGCCCCGTGGCACTCGATCGGGCCCTTTAAACTTAAACTTACCCGTCGTGCGCCCCGTGGCCCGCGACGGGCCTTTCCGCACCTGCCCTCCCTGCAGCCGCCCCTGACCTATCAGCGCCGACACAGTGTAACCGCCCTGCGGCTTTCTTCCCGCCCACCCCCTCCTCCTTTGTTTCTCTGCAGCCGCGGGGAGGAGGGTATGGGGGTGGCGAGTGTTGGGGCGTTGGGTCGTTCACTTCCCTTCCCCTCCTCCTCCTTTCATTCCCACTGCTGCAGCTGCCGCTGGGGGGGAGGGTGTGAGGGTGTGGGGGAGCAGGGGGAGTGGTACCGGGGTGGCGGGTGTGAGGCAACAAGCAGCCGTCCCTCCACCTCTCCTCTCTTCCCCCCTTCTCTGCTGCTTCTGCAGCAGTGTGGGGGAGGGGAAGGAGGAGGATGAGGAGATGGAGGGGGTGACCAGCTAGTGTCAGCCCGCCTGCATTACCTGCTGTTGCTTGCTTTTTATTGTTCGTTGGTGTACCTCTGCAGGTTGTGCTCTGCACTTAGCTATTCCTGCATGCAGTTACGGGGGGATGTCAGAATTATATTTATTATAACTGCATGACGTTCTAGCTGTAGTGTAGTTATTAAGTTTGTAGGTGGTGCACCTCTTCACTTGTTTCCTTGCTATATGTACTTCGAAACTATAGTGAAGAATACATTCTCCAATTTCTCCCTTCCAACTCACTCGATACCTCGCCTAGGAGAAACCCGCTCGACACTCTAGTTGGGCCTAGGCTACTAAGCCTAGGCCCTAGCTTAATCTACTCGTTCGTTCATCTTAATCTCTTGACACTGATTTGCGTTGTTTATCCCTTTTATGCAGAGAAGTGGAATAAAGACATTCAACGCTCTCAAGTGTCATCGAATGTTTTGCTGTGCACTCATTGCGACGGCGGCTACACATCTACTCAGCATCCGTCACTTGCTGCTCAACGGTCCGAACGCTCTCAAGTCGGATCGGACTTCGCCAACCTACTTTCTGTGTCAGCCTTCCATGTCCAACTAAGTATTCTCTTCACCCTCATCGTGTCAGCTATTTAATCATTTATCCGTACTGGTTGTTGGTCTTCCAGCCAAAATTCTGCCTATAGAGCTTCCTGTATCTTCCCCTAATTTGGGTTAGTCTCTTTAGGTCTGTCTAGTGTCAGCGCCGCCAAGTCATGCATGCGTCAGTCTGTCTGAGCTCTTCGGTGCGGCTGCTTTGGCTGGAATACCCCCTTCCTCCCACATCGATCTATTTTTTCGTCGCGTTATTTCGTTTATCGCATCGTCAATGTGAACTTAATGTTTTGTTCTCGTTTTTCTGGCAGTTTCTCTACTACGACGCTCCATCACTTGGGAGAAGCAAGGCCCTCGGATCTCAACATGCCAAGTTCAAGACTTGAAGCCAGCAGTCTGAACGATGACTTCAAGCAAAGGCGTCAACCAACACTAAAGATCTGAACTTCGATTGCAGATAAGTAAAAACAAATCCTTGTTTCTCCCTACTCCATTTCTCCGTTGTTTTTTTTGTAATGCTGGAGCGCTTACCACAACTGCTTTAGGAGCCAATCCCCTTATATGATTTTTTTTTTAGTCAGGTATTCCCTCTGGTGAGTCCCTCAGGTTTCTATTGGTATTTCTTGGTATTGGCTCTTATAGCAGTGGCGTTAAGTGCTTTCACATTTTGTTCCTGCATACTCGTACCACCCGTCATGCACATGCTGAATTTTCTTGCTCGTTTGGACCTTCCCTTGCTCCATCTACTCACTCACTCTCCCTCCTCTATCTTTATATGGCAGATGCTCTTTCTCCATAAAGGCCATCTTGAGCAACGCTACGCTCAACGCATCAAGGCATCATCCAAGCAATTTTCTGCCAACATTGGAGCAGCGAGGTCAACTTCCGAGCGTTCAATCGCACATCTGGAGCGAGCACTTCAGAGTTACAGCCAACATTCAGTGTGGAGATAAGTACTTTCAAGCCTCGCCTCTAATGCTGTGTTTTTCATGTTGTTTTCTGCTATTTCGATCTTTTACACCATGCTTTCGGTTTCATCATGACATGCACATTTTCATGCATGTATGCATGAGCGCTAGCCTCCGTCACCACATGAGCCATTCCCCCTTAGCTGGTCAGGTATTTGGTATAGGGTACTCTTCTCTCTGGTGAGATCCTCAGGTCTCTTTAAGGTATTTTTCTGGTACCTGGCTCATGTGGATGTGGTGGCAAGCGCTCGTACATCTATGCTACTCCAACCTTCCCCATCATGCATTTGGATAAACGCCTTGATCCTCCATGGAGCTCCTAGTGCCACTTGTTCAACATTCTCTTTCCAAACTTTTCCTTTGATTGGCAGGCCTTCTTTTCAACTCTGCGTGGCCAACTGAGAGACCTTGCCTGGCAGCATTGAAGAAACGCTTTCTACCAAGTCCCTTCAAGAATTTCAAGCGTTGGGAAGGTAAAGCTCCTAAATTTCAGTGGTTAATGTTGTTTAACTTTTCTACTTTCACTGACAACTCCTTGCTTTCTTTCCACAGATATCTCACTTCTCAAGCTCTTCAACACCCACTTCCCTCTCAAGGCACTCATCAAGCATCCCAACATTCAAGGCCAACGAGTTAATGCTCCTGACTTCTTGTATTGTCTTTTGTTGGTTGTTTTGTTGTAACCTTGACTGATGTCTTCTTGTTTACGTCCGTAGGTACCTTACCCCTCAAGCCCTTCAACAGCCACTTCCTCTCAAGACCTTCAATAGCCAAACATCCCAACGTTGAAGGCTCCGAAGGTAATGCTCTTGACTTGTATTGTTTCTTGTTCATATTTCGTTTCAACCTTTGACTGACCTCTCCTTGTTTTCTATTCGCAGGTGCCTCATCACTCAAGCCCTTCCAACAGCCACTTGCTTCCCTTGACCTTCAACTATCAGCATCACATCCCAGCATCCAAGGCCCCCAAGGTAACGTTCTTGACTTCTTGAATTGTTTACTGTTTGATTTTCGTTTTACGCTTGACTGATGTCCCCTTGTTTCCTTTTGTAGGTACTTCAACACTCAAGCCCTTCAACGGCCTCTGGCCTCTCAAGATGTTGTACAAATCAAGCATCTCAACATCCAAGGCCACCAGGGTACTTGTTTTGACCTTCAGCTGTTTGTTTTTACACCCAGACTGACATTTGCCTTTTCACCCTGCAGGTATTTTAACAGTGGAGGTTTTTAACCAACAGTTTCCACCAATGGTTGTGAGGTCAACTCACCATCCTAAGAACGAAGGTACATATGCCAACTTCCTGCTTTCTTTCTTTTTACTTCTTCCTCTTGCCTCCTGCAGGTGCCCCAGGAGGGGTTGGCGTGGCATGTGCTAGTGACATGAAGGCATCAAGGCATGAGGAGGCTAATGCATGGTTGAGAGCACCCTTGGGGTTGGCTAATCTCGAATCCAGGCCATACACAATGGTTTCGTCCGGTAGCAGAGTTGACTGCAGCAGCTATGCTACTTGATGGGGGTCCAAAAGGACAGAACCGGCGTGTGCATATGGGCTCCCGCATGTCTTGATACTAGCAACCCTGAGTGTGGGCCATTCCTCCCCGTGGTGGGGGAGGATGGCTTCAAACCTCAACCGCCAGTCCTCCCTGTGGTGGGGGAGAATGGCTTTAAGCTGCAATGGCCAGTCCTCCCTGTGGTAGGCGAGGATGGCTTAATGCCTCTGATCGCCACCATGCCTCTAGCAGCCAGTCCTCCATGTGGTGGGGGAGGAAGGCTCAATGCCTCAAACAACCAGCCCCTTCCAAGGCATGTGACTGTCAAACTATACCCATGTGAGTTGTCTGGTTTCTTGCACTTCCGTTCATTGAAATCACTTACTGATGATTAACATTTTTGGTTGCACTGTGCATGTTACTTGTGTGATTCAACATGGTATCTACAACAGCAACTTTGTCACATTTAGGGCGTATCTTTGGCTCTGGTCATGAGCACTGTTCATTCTACTGTTTGGGTCATGCAGAATTTGCGCATGACCCAAAGTGGGTTGCCGAGCCGCGCGCGGCCCCAGCTTTGGGTCAAGGTGCAGGTGTCGGGCGACTGACGTGCACGACCCACCCCCAACCAATCACCCGGTTGTACGATTCTGGATTTACTGCCATTTTTTGGCGGTCGTCAGTCGAGTTTCACACGTGGGCAATGTCCCACGTCTTACCCCTCTGCACCCAACCACTCGGTAAATTGACCTTAGTGACCATTAGTGGGTCAAAAATTTCCCGCGCTGCCCTCCTAGCATTTGGGGATGTTTAGATACTAAGCATAGGTGGGCTTAGGAGCCATAGTTTAGTTAGGTTCTTAGAGGTCGAGTTTAGGGTTGAGGAGAGAGTCGAGAAAGTTGGAAGGGAGAAAGAGGGGCGTCACTACAGGTTTGCAAGAACATATAGCAAAGGAAACAAAGAAGGTGCACCACCAAACAAAGTTTATACTAACTACACTAACTACAGCTACAGGCAGTTACAGATATATTCTGACACTCCCCCATAACTGCCTGCAGCACAAGCTAATGCAGAGACACCCCCTGAAGGGGTACACCAAGCGCAGCAGAAGGAGAGGGGAAGTGAGGAGGAGGGACTATATGAGGAGAGGTTGCTGCCAGGTGAAGCTGCTGGCTCCAAGGCGGCTGCTTCCTGGAACCTTCCTCAGTCCTCCAACTCCCCCTTCCACACTCCTTGACAACCCTAGCACCTCTCCCCCAGCTCCCCCACACCCTCACACCCACCCCCCCCCCAGCGGCAGTTGCAACAGTGGGAGAGAAAGGAGGAGGAGGGGAAGGGGATCACACACACCCATCACCCCCATACCCGCCACCCCCATAGCCTCCATTCCACGGCTGCACGCACAGCAAGGAGACGAAGAAGGGGGGGGGGGGGGGGGGGGGCAGGGGCGACAGAGCAAAACAGAGCGCACGAGGGCGCGGGTAGCAGCAGGGCGCACGAGGGCGCGGGCAGCAGGAGAGCGCACGAGGGCGCAGGCAGACCAGAGCGCACAAGGGCGCGGACAGCAGCAGAGCGGCAACAGGCAGCACAGGCACGGGCAGCAACGGGCAGCAACGGGCAGCACAGGCACGGGCAGCAACGGGCAGCAACAGGCAGCACAGACTCGGGCAGCAACGGGCGGCAACAGGCAGCACAAGCACGGGCAGCAACGGGCGGCAACGGGCAGCACAGGCACGAGCAGCAACAGGCAGCAACAGGCAGCACAGGCTCGGGCAGCAACGAGCGGCAACGGGCAGCACAGGCACGGGCAGCAACAGGCAGCAACGGGCAGCACAGGCACAGGCAGCAACGGGCGGCAACAGGCAGCATAGGCACGGGCAGCAACAGGCAGCACAGGCACGGGCAGCAACGGGCGGCAACGGGCAGCACAGGCACGGGCAACAACGGGCGGCAATGGGCAGCAACGGGCGGCAACGGGCAGCACAGGCACGGGCAGCAACGGGGCGGCAACGGGCAGCACAGGCACGGGCAGCAACGGGCGGCAACGGGCAACACAGGCACGGGCAGCAACGGGCGGCAACGGGCAGCACAGGCACGGGCAGCAACGGGCGGCAACGGGCAGCACAGGCACGGGCAGCAACAGGCAGCAACAGGCAGCACAGGCTCGGGCAGCAATGGGCGGCAACAGGCAGCACAGGCACGGGCAGCAACGGGCGGCAACGGGCAGTACAGGCACGGGTAGCAACAGGCAGCAACGGGCGGCAATAGGCAGCACAGGCACGGGCGGCAACAGGCAGCACAGGCACGGGCAGCATAGGCACGGGCAGCAACGGGCGGCAACGGGCAACACAGGCACGGGCAGCACAGGCACGGGGAGCAACGGGCGGCAACGGGCAGCAAAGGCACGGGCAGCAACAGGCAGCAACAGGCAGCAAAGGCAGGCAGCCGTACCGAGTCCAGGAGCGGCGGCGCATACAGCTGTAGGGTCGGCGCCGTGGGCTGCTGCTGGGGCAGCTCGTGGGGTCCAGGGGCGGCTGCTGAGGTCCAGGAGCGGCTGCTGAGGTCCAGGGGCGGCTGCTCCAGGGGCGGCGCTGGTGCAAGGTAGGCCCGCGCGCGGCTGCAACGCTGGCGCGGGCGCAGGTGAGGCAGAGGCGGTGGTCAGGGGGGAGGGCGCCGCGACGAGTAGGAACGGCGCCCAAGGGGTGCCGCTACGAGTAGGGGCGATGCCCCAGGGGCGCCGCGACGAGCAGGAGCAGCGTCCAAGGGGCGCCGCGACGAGCAGTGGCGACGCCCCGCGGGTCCCGCAGTGGCGTCACGACGAGCAAGGCGACGCCATGCGGGTCCTGTAGGGGCATCGCGACGAGCAGGAGCGGCTACACCCGGGTCCCGCAGGTGCGTCGCGACGAGCAGGAGCGGCGCCTCGCAGGGTGCCGCGAAGTGGAGGGTACTGGCGGGCAAGACAGGCTCGCGCGTGGACGTGAGGCAGGCGCGCAGGCGGCGTGAGGACAGGCCACGCGCGGGGCAAGAAGATGCCGCACGCCCAGGGCGCACGGCGGGCAGAAAATCGCCGTGCGCCAAAAACACGCCGCGTGCCCGAGGCGCGCGGCAGGACGATAGGCAGCGGAAGCAGGAAGGCAGCAGGAGGATGATACCTGCTCTGAATACCATGTTTAGATACTAAGCATAGGTGGGCTTAGGAGCCATAGTCTAGTTAGGTTCTTAGAGATCGAGTTTAGGGTTGAGGAGAGTGTCGAGAAAGTTGGAAAGGAGAAAGAGGGGCTTCACTATAGGTTTGCAAGAACATATAGCAAAGGAAACAAAGAAGGTGCTCCACCAAACAAAGTTTATAATAACTACACTAACTACAGCTACAGGCAGTTACAGATATATTCTGACAGGGGATTCACGCCGGGAATTTTGACGATTGTGTTTTTTCGGTGGGTTTCGCCTCGTTTCGTGTGGGTCTTGCTAAGGATGTTTCGAACTGTTCTGGCATCCCTCCATTAGATGCGACTGTTGTGGGGAGCATGATTTTGGCGCTAAAACCTTCGCGGCTCTTTGGGAGTCGCATGAGTTCGAAGGACCCAAAGTGGCGTTTTATGTTGTTTGGGTCATCCGCAAAATGCGGATGCCCGGAACAGTGCCCATGACCCGAACCTGGATACGCCCTTATTGCTGGAGTAACACCCCCAGGGTCCTTGCTAGGATTTGAACCCCCCTGATGCGTCAGACGGGCCCTTCAGGCCCGTCTGATGCATCAGATATTTCGCCTTTGCGTGTCTGATGCATCATAAATTTCAAAATAACTTGTCTGACCAATTAAAATAGAGTTTCTAGCGTGTAGATGCACGTGGGATAACAAGGTGAGTCTGACTTTTCTGGACCTTTCACATTCATTCGCAGTACAAACTGGTGTGATTCGCACTCCACTGGTCTCAGCAAAATCACCCTAACACAGCAGATTCGCCCTGTCATAGCACAAAATATTCGCCCAATCAGAGCAAATTTGCTCTAACACGGCAGATTCGCGACGTCAGAGCGCAACATGTTCATCCAATAATAGAAAACTCGTCCTGACACAAGAGATTCGACCTTACACGACACAGCAGATTTGCTTTGAGAACAGATTTGCCCTGTCATAGCATGTTCTGCGGGAAATCACCGTACTCTAACATGTTTCGATTTCAGACGAAACATATATTACATTTCTGATGAATTAGATGAAGACAAAAAATCATTTCTACTCAATCAGATGAAAAAATAAATCATTCCTTGAAAATCAGATTAACTGGAAAAAATCGTATGGAAACTAAGACAAACAGACAAAAATGTATGATGTCGAGGACCCTGAACACCCGTTAGCTGTTGAAGTTGTATCAAGTAGAACGTTATTGTTTTGTAATCTTGTCTGAAGATCTGGAACTTAAAGCCCGGGTACAGCATGGTAATTTTCAAGTTCAAGATTCTTGAACTTGAAATCGCAAAAAACAGGGTTACCCTACTTGTTTTGAAGAAACTCTCGCAACCCCAGGCAATCGTCTTGCGACAACGGAACCCGAGTGCCCAAAAACAGAACTGACGCGATGATCGCCAACCATATGCACTGTTCACCACTCACATAACTTGCTTACCAAGTCGTACTCATAGACTAGGAGGCTCCAAGACAAAAACTAGCGCTAGTTGGCAAAAGCGAGTCGTTGTTAGGGCTTTTTTTTTGTGCGGAAAACAAAATAGGTATCCACCTCAACCATCTTAGTCAGTGCACGCTCCGATTTCCCCCTCACGTCACCGGTCTCGTGTTACAACCCGTTCACCCGCAGCACTTACGTTAGTGAACAATCGTCGCGTTACTCGTGCCTTGCTTTGAAGCTCGCGTCGCACAAGATGCTCTTTTCACACTTGCTGCGGTTCAGCCTCGCGTCCCGATCGTACCGTTTTAGGCACGGGCCGCTCACGCGAATGCCGTACAGGGTCGCCAGACGCGCGCTGTCGTTAGTCTCATATGTTCCCCCTCGTCAGCCGCTCTTTCCCACGTCATACCGCTTTCCTCGTCGCCCGCAATTTCCCTCATCTCCCTCGCCGACCCTCGTCGCCCTCGCCTCTGCTTGTCGCCCGCGCTTCCCGTCGTCGCCCTTGCTTCCCCGTCACCTGTGCTTCTTGTCGTTGCCCTTGCTTCCTTGTCACCCGTGCTTCCCGTCGTCGCCCTTGCTCTCCCGTCACCCGCGCTTCCCGTCGTCGCCCTTGCTTCCCCGTCACCCGCGCTTCTTCTCATCTCTCGCTCTCCTCCTTAACGTCTTCGTTTTCCTCGTCGCCATAACGCCCTCGCTTCTGCCCGTCGCCCTTGCCTCCCCACATACCCGCCTCCATCTCCCCCACATACCACCCGCCTTCCTCCCCACATTCTATTCCGCTTGTCATACGCTCTTCTCCTCTTCCTCCCTTCCATCTTTCCCTCCATCCCTCTCCCTCTCTCTATCTCTCTTTCTTCGAACCTCTCTCTCACCCTTTCTTCCACCCTTTTTCCTCCTGAGGGGAAGGGACCGAATGAGAGACACAGAGGGGATATGACACAAGGGTATGCAGAAGTTCTTTTCCCCCACGGGCTTCCCCTCATCGCCCTCACTTCCCCCAAATTGTTGCCCCCTGTCTCTGTTTTTCCCAGCCACCCGTTCTCCCACCAGCCCTGCTTCCCCCTTTGCCCTGATTCCTTCCACCCTCTGCCCTGCTCCCCCCCATCCCCTTCCCTGCTCCCCCCCACCCTCTGCCCTGCTTCCCCTCATCCCATTCCCTGCTTCTCCCCACCCCCTGCCCTGCTTCTTCCCATCCCCTTCCCTGCTTCCCCCCATCCCCTTCCCTGCTTCTTCCCATCCCCTTCCCTGCTTCCCCCCACCCCCTTCCCTGCTTCCCCCCATCCCGTTCCCTGCTTCCCCCCGTCCCCTTCCGTGTCTCCGTGTTACACGTTTCCTTGTCCCTTTTCCCTGTGTCTCCCCACCCTCTGTTCTTATTCCTTCACCCTCGCACACCTTCCCGCCTGCCGACCTTACCGCTTGCCCACCTTACCACCTTCCCTTCTCATCCGCGCGCAGGTGTGCCCGGAAGGTGCACGTGCTGCCTTGTGCCTGCCGCTTGCTGTCCACGCCTTCCATCCCACCTCTCCCAAACCACGTCTTTTTCTATACGTGCCTCCCCTGCTGGTCCATACCCTCTGCTGATCTGCGCCCTATGAGGCCGTGCCCTCTCTGTTCCCCGCCCCTGCAAGTACGGAGGGATTGGGAGCCGCTTTGCCTAGCAGCCAGCACTGTGCAGGCAAGGATTCGAACTGGTGGATCATGGGGCAAGGGTAAGGGAGTGTGTTGTGCGGCATGGTCAGTGTGGAGTGGCGTGGGAGGGAGGCAAAATGGCAAGCACAGGGTGAAGGCAGGCAGGGGCCGTGGCAAAAATATGGAGATTGGCAATGTCAGCAGGATGTGCGGCAGGATGCTGGCGGCAGCGCACGTCAGGACATGTGTGGTGGGGCAAGGCTGGTCTGCGCTGCGGTGGGCCGGGGGAGTGCAGATTGGTGCAGGGAAAGGCACGACATGTTCCTATGTGGCCGGCCGAGACCCTTATGAGTTGCGGGATCTGAGCTTGAGAGTGTACGCTTGGAAATGTATTGCTAATGTGTTTCTTGATATTTAATTTCCATGATTCACAATTTTCTTTTCTATGGCAATTCAGCACTTGAATTTTAATGTTATTCTGAAGTGAAGTCTCAAACTTATCCAAATACTTTAGTCGATTAGTAATCACAGGAAATATTGTTCAGTGTACTGCCTCACTCTTACTCACGTGAGTTTCGCGTTCCCCACCATTTCAACCCCAAGAGAAACGCAGTGTGCCCCCCTAGTGCTGGGGCGGGAGCAGTGCTCTGTCGCACACTGGGTCGTTCGGCCCTCCCATATCCTCGGGGACAGCTGTCGCATAGTATCGTGGCGAAGACTACTTTTCCCGCCTCCTGAATTCGGTTTCGCCCCACACACATTTTCGTCATTCACGATTTTCAGGTTTTCGCCTAACTGTTTCAACCCCACATAACTTGAAAAATTACCATGCTGACCTCGGGCCTTAAGTCTCTAATGGTGTTGAGTAGTAGGAAGCAATACAAGAACAGAGATATGTTTTTCTTAAAAGGTGTAATATCATTTTTTTATCGCTTGCAGAACTAGGCACTCCACTGGCCTGCTCTACAAGGGAATCAAGTTAATCGTAATTATCACTTGTACCGACTTCCTGTGCCGACCTTCGTTATTCGTTTCTCGATGATGGTCAATATCCCACGTGTTCTATTGCTAATCTACCTTTTCTGCGAACGGCGCCCTTACCCTACCCTCATTCTGCGCTAACCTCTCTTCGCAAGTCAGATGATGGTATCGCGAGTTACCCCGCTGCCGCATCGCACCACCGCGTCGATCCCGCCAGTTGCGATCCCCTGGCGACTCATGCGACCGGCGTGGGGCACATGCGAGTCGATTGGCCGAATCGCATGCGAGGAACTCGCTATCGTGCGGTCGAATGTTCAGTTCCGCGCCAACCGCGATCGTCGCAGCAACTGGAGGGCCATCGAATAGCCGCGCCGCGTAGAACTCACGCGCGACAGTCTTTCCCGCATGAATTTATTCCACGCGGTTCCTCCGAACGGGAAGCACGCGAAATTTCCCTAGTAACTCGCCCCCCACTCACCGTGTAGCCGTTTCCGCCGCGAGCCGTGCAAGCGAAGCCTCAGGCGAATCCGAGCCGTCTGTAAGATCCGCGAGATCGGGGAAGAGGAGACCGGCGGAAACTTGCGCGAAATGCTTGTGCAGGATCTCGTGGGTCCAAACGAGGTGGTTCTCGAGGCGCAGCCGCGCGTGTGCACGCGACCCACGCAGACCCGGTCGCTGGGCGAAGGGGAGATGCGGCGCTTGCTGGAGCAGATCTTGCTCTCAGGTGTGTCTTCAGGTGTTCTGTCAGGTGGATCTCAGGGATATTCTGTTCGGCGTGCACCTTGGGTTCCAGGTGAGACCTCTGGTGAAATACCAGCTGAAGTCTCAAGTGTCTGGTGAAGTTTCAGGTAACCATGTCGCTGCTGCTGAACCAGCTGGACATGAGGGGTGGTTGTGAGGGAGAGAGTGGGGAGGGGCAGCAGGGTGTGTGAGATGGACGACTCAAAGCTCTCAGATCTTTCCTTTTTCTGTTGGCTTTCCGCGACTCCCCTCTTTCCTTCCAGGAAATCATGTCTCTGCTGCAGAACTTGCTGCCCATGAGGGGCGGATGTGAGGAGGAGAGAACGGGGTGTGTGAGAGATGCTCTGGTGTGTGGCGGCGTATCTGCCGTGCGCATGAACCGCACGACTGACAGAGAGCTCAAAGCCTTCTGCCTGGTGTGCTCCTGCAGCCACAGCAAGTGACATGGTGAAGTCACAGGGGCAGGCTATCTGGTAGGCACACACACAATGAGTCACGTAGCAGAGGGGGATTAGTGCACAAAGGGGATTGCATTGCTATCATATCTGCAGGAATGTTGGCATAAAAGCTATCATAGCATGCTTACCTCTATTGCTAACGCTCTCACTTTTCAAGCATGTGTGTGTGCATGTGCATGCGCGTGTGGATGTTGCATGCACGTCTACCACACAGGCACCTTAGATGTTGGAAGTGTATGGGGAGCACATGTTGGCTCACGTGCTGTCCCTTAGAAGCCCCTTTGTAGCCAAGCTCTAGAATCATCACGATCAACTTGACAGTGATTTTGATCACCCAAAGCAACGTTTAGGGTTGTCAATGTAAGATTGTTTTGACCTATCTTATTTCAGTGTGATGGATGAGGCCCAGCCCTGAAGTTCAGTGAAGTAGCATCCCACCCAGCTGTAAGGTTGCTGCACAGAAAGTAGGTATAATTAAGTTTCTTAACCTTTGATGACAACCTCTAGAATTCAACATGTGCTTCCTAGGCCTTCTTCCATATAAAGATCATTTGGTAGATGTTTTTTATGCAGTGATTCTTATGGAAAATCTTGACGCTAGCCAATTACCTAAGTTCATGCTTCTGGGAGTGTTACTCAGTGTCCATTATGTCCTGCTCGCGTCATGTCAGAGGCCGACTGCAATCGAGCAAAACAATGACGAGGATTTTTGTTTTCCCGCCAATCTCAATGATCACAGTGGGGTCTTTGCTTAGGAAGGGTGATGTTGTGTTTCTGTGTGGCCTTTAGGGGACTCCTATCCCGAAATCGATCATGTCGTTTAGACCTCTATCTTCGTGGCTTAGCTTGTTGGAAGGGTCACGAATTTAGACCGTCCTGCTCGTGCCGTTCCTGACAGTGTCCTGTCAGTGCATTGTTTACATCCCATCATGAATGCGAGGCATAATTCCCTGAGAAACGACGAAGAGATGCCGAGGTTGTTTACCTTGCGTTGATGCGTGATGATCGCTCCGCAACGCTTAGTCTGACGTCTGCATCGCATTCGTATCGTATCGCATCATTGAACAGTTACCGCCAGCAGCAATTGTCGCCAACCCGACACCACGAGTTGTGCCATCAGCGATGCCCATTAGATCAACGGCTCACAGTGATTTCCTGTCGACGTCTTCGTGTTGACAATGTAAGGGGTGTTTGACGAGAATGGTTCAAAGAATTTAGACGGATGCAGCTATTTCCTGCAGGCTTTTTCATAAAGGAGGCTTGGATGATTCATACAACGCTCACGAGGTGCACGGCTCTAACGACTTGTTCTCTCCGTCTACGTCAAATTTTCCAGCACGCAAGGCGGAGCATTAGAAACGCCAGCATACTCTCTGCAGCGCCGGCATTCTCTCTGCCATATTCTGACGGTGCCTGTAAATCCCCAGCGGCTCCCCCCTGGTTCTGCAGCGGCAACATGCTGTCCGCCGAGTTCTGAGGTGCCTGACCACCCCCCATTCTCCCCTCCCCCCTCGTCACCGCTCCCCCCTGTCACTCCCCCCAGGTTCTGCAGCGGCAATATGCTGTCCGCCATCTGCAGGAGCGCGGGGTGGGCCTGCGGTGCGTCACCTGACTCCCCCACAGCAGCAGCAGCAGCAACAGCAGCGGCAGTTGCGGCGGGGGAGTGTTCCCCGGAGGATCAACGGACGAAGCTGCGATCGTCAGTCACCTTCTCCCGCTTCCCCGGAGCTTCTCTGGTACCACCCAGCCGCTGACATGCCACCCGTACTCGCGTTTAGATCAGCCCTATATCAGCCCTTGCACGTCCCTTCTCGCTTGATCGTTCGTTCACCTTCCTCTCAGTTATCCATCGCCCCCTCCCCGTTAGTGTCACAACTCACCCTCCCACATGTCACCCGTGCCCTCTCCCATCCCTTATAGTCCACTCCACCACTCCCTCTTCTGAGATCCTCACTTGCATCTCTCCCCGCCCTCCACACCCACTCCTCCCACCTCCATTGCCCTGCTCCTCCCGCCGTCCCTGCCCACTCCGTTCCCACCCCGATGCCCTGCCGTTTTCCCCCCCTCTCCGCGCGCCCAGCTGGCGGGCACAGCAGCAGCGCCGCCCGAGGTGGCGTGGGTGCGGGGGCTGGACGCGCATGCGGCGCCCCTCAAGGAGTTCTCCGTCACCTTCTCTGAGGCCCTGCGCAACGTGCGTGCTTCGTGTGGTGCTGTGGCTGCTGTGCATGTGCATGCAGTGCTGTGTTGTAGGAATAGTGCATGTCATGAGCCTTAAGCAGTTCTCCGTCACCTTCTCTGAGGCCCTGCGCAGCGTGCGTGCTTCGTGTGGTGCTGTGGCTGCTGTGCATGTGCATGCAGTGCTGTGTTGTAGGAATAGTGCATGTCATGAGCCTTAAGCAGTTCTCCGTCACCTTCTCTGAGGTCCTGCGCAGCGTGCGTGCTGTGCTGCCGTGGTTGGTGGGATACGTATGATGAAGAGCATGAGATGTGATGCATGTGCTTGCATGCAGTGCTGCCGTGCTGTTTAGAGAAAAATGCATCCCAGAAGCCCCTCGAGGAGTTCTCCGTCACCTTCTCTGAGGCCCTGCGCAACGTGCGTGCTGCGTGTGGTTCTATGGGTGTCGTGGTGTTGCGGTGGAGTTGTTGGTGCTTGTTGCTTATCTGGCATGTCATCACACGAATGAATGCAGGATGCAGATCGTCTCAAACGCTCACTATATCGAGCCAATGCCAAAAAGAGTTGACTTTTAATCCCTCTTCCTCTCTGCTGCAAACCCCCCATCATGCTCCGCCCTGCCCTCTTCTCACGTGCAGCTGCCGCTGGGGGTGCGGCTGTGGTCGCACAACCAGAGGGAGAAGTCCCAGGGCCGGGTGAGTGCATGGTATCTGCTACGCACATGAGCCATGACGACACATGATGCTCCTACATACTGCTCTGTGATGTGGAACATAGCCTCTGGCATGGGATGTGCTCTTGTTTCGTCACTGTCATCTCATGCAGTGTCCCAGGCAGACGCACTGACATGCCTCGGCCTCATGCATGGTGAGCCATTCCCATTCCCCGGCTGTGCCTCGTGCTTCCCCCACGCCCATGCCCCTGCAGGTGCCAGTGATTGACCCTTTCTCGCGTGAAACACAGCCATCAGCATGCCACGGGGTGCCTTTAGGAGGCATCGGGTAAGCCCACCTGCCTCTAGGGGCTTCACAATGCATGGCCATTCGTAACCCCAGCTCCCTTCCCCTCTCACCTGCCTGCCCACGCTCGTCCACCTATCTGCCCTCCACCTATCTGCCCTCCACCATCATGCCTGCTCTGCCCTGCTCTGTGTTCATGGTTCACCTGGCACTGCTTGTCTCCCTCTCCGCCCTCCGCCCTCTTCCCTGCGGCCTGCTGCCCACCCCTCTGCGTCTTGCTGCATGTGTGCAGGGCGTGCAGCATTGGCCGGGGGTTCCAGGGGGAGTTCAACCGATGGCAGTTTGCAGCGGGGCAGTGCGAGGACGCCCCCGTGGAGGCCGATCAGTTCTCCGTGAGTCCTCTCATCTCCTTCGCCCCCTCTAAAGTCACAGCAACTACACTAATTAATGAATACCACTTCACCCGTGAACGTCAACCACTTCGCTGTTAGCCCTCCCTATCGTCCCTCCCTTCACCCGGCCTCTGAATGCTCTGCATATTCGTTATGTTACAACAGCTACATCACATCAGGTCTCTCACTTTGCTTAGCTTGCAGTGGACCAGCCCCTCTCAAGTTCTCGTCCGTGCTCTACCCTGGCGTGCCCAACCCAAGGGCGTTTGAGGTCCCTCCATCTGCAACCGTTTGTCCAGTTCGTTCCGTGGCGCTGCCTCTGCAGGTGTTCATCACGAGGCAGGCAGAGAGCCCAGCAGACCAACCCCTCAAGTTCTCCTCTGTGCTTTACCCTGGCGTGCCCAAGGGCGTGCGGAGGAAGGCGAGTGGGTCGGGGATCGATGCGTGGGGTTGGAACATGGATGGCTCGCGCAGCACCTACTATGCTCTCTTTCCCCGCGCCTGGACCGTCTATCAAGGTAGCTATCTGGTGGAGACAGCATGTCATGTTTGTTGTATATACACTTGGGTGGGTGGGACGCGGAAGTACGTACATAGTGCCTTGCATAGCGTGCCTGCGTGTGTATGGTTCATGGTGCAACTGGGCATGCAAGGTGGTCCCTGTGTTGCGACGCGCTGATGCTGCTGACGGCACTCTCTTTCATTCTCATCCGCGTGTGGAGCTGAGCTTGTGTGGTGTATGATGAATCTGCTGCCTGCGTTTGTATGTGCGCCTGCGGGTGTGCGCTGCCTGCCCGTGTGTGCTTCCCTGTGCGTGCAGAGCCAGACCCTGAGATGACCATCTCGTGTCGCCAGGTCTCTCCCTTTATACCCAACAACTACCAGGAGTCCTCCCTCCCCTCCTCTGTCTTCGCTTTCACTGTAAGCCCACACCTCCCGCCCCTTTCTCCTTCCCGTTCCCGCCTCTTCCCCTTACAACTTAAATTGTTCTTCTCTCTTCATACCCTCGTTCTCGTCATCTGGATCGCATTGCTTGCACTCTTTGTTTGTTTTGGGCATGGCCCTGTGCTCACCATGTGCACTAATGCTCCTGCGTTGCCCATTTGACCAGGTAGCTAACACGGGCACGACAGCAGCTGAGGTCACACTCGTCTTCTCCCTTGCAGTGAGTCCCCCCTTGCTTGCCCTGCCTCACCTGCTTGCTGTACCATCGTGCTGCCTCACCTGCTTGCTGTACCATCGTGCTGCCTCACCTGCTTGCTGTACCATCGTGCTGCCTCACCTGCTTGCTGTACCATCGTGCTGCCTCACCTGCTTGCTGTACCATCGTGCTGCCTCACCTGCTTGCTGTACCATCGTGCTGTACCATCGTGCTGTACCATCGTGCTGCATTACCGCCTCGTTTCTCTCAAGTCCATCCGCCTCGTAGCTCTCCTAGTCTGTGCATATGACACCGCACAAAATGTTTAGCATGCGCATGGACTGGCTAGCATTGTGTGGAAGCTGATTCATCCATGTGCACGCACCACCGCACTACACCGCACTGCACACTCACTCCTTCCCATCCCTTCTCTTCTGCTCCAGCCAACCCATCATCATCTCCTGCTTCAATCCTTTGCCCCCTTGTGACGTTGCAGAACTCCATAGGGGGGGACTCTGCAGCAACCGGCGGCCATCTCAACACTGCCTTTGAGTGAGAACAACATAACACCAAGCAACCGTCAACCATGGATCCACCATCGCACCAACTGCCTGCACATCCTTTCCACGTGTGCCTCGCTTTGCTGCACCACCTGCCTTGGTGCCATAACTCTCATTTCCCCTCTTTCATCCTGCTGACAATGCTTGTGGTGTTTGTGCGTGTCAGGATGGACAGGGGCATCAAAGGCGTGAAACTGCAGCACAGGTCGGATCCATCCACCACCATGCATGCCTCTCATCCCATTGATCCACACACCCCCTTATGCTCATGCCTCACTCTACAAAAGCCCAACTTCTAACAAATGCTCCCTCTCTTACGCTCTCCTGCTGCCTCTCCTCTGCCGCATCTCCACTGCATGCATGCAGGTCCTCCAAAGTGGGCGGCCCAGTGACTCTAGCCATTGCAGCACGAGGGGGGAGTGGCGCCACCAACACTGCTCCTCCCTCTGCCACCTCTGCAACTATGTCCTCTCCCATCGCTGCTGACTCAGCCAACGGGATCGCTGACCCAGCTTGCAGAGCTGCTGACTCAACAAATGGGATTGCTGACAGCGGGACTGACGAAGTTCGGGTGTCTGTTTGCCCGCACTTCGTCCTCTCAGGCCCCTGCAAGGGCCTATCAGCTGCTGACATGTGGCAGCACCTTGAGAAGGTGTGTTTCTCTGGTACAATTCACCTCATACTTGTTTCCTCAGGCCGATGCATCGACATCATTGTCCCACCCATGTTCACCTCACCTTTTCCATTTCTACGTCTCTCCTCCATCGCACCCACCACAGGCCATCCAATCCATTCCATCCCTTTAACTGTCAGCCCTGACACTGCCATCAGCAGCCGTCACTGCCTCACTCTCTCCATACCTCTCCCTCCCAACACCTCCAACCACCCCCACTGTTCCCCTGTCTTGACCACAGACCGGCACCTTCCCCCCCCACCACGAGTCAGCCCTGGCATCGCACCCCTCGTTCCCCGGCACGGCCATCGGGGCAGCAGTGGCAGCGTCAGTGTCGGTGGCGCCTGGAGCCACTCGCCACGTGGACTTCACGCTGTGCTGGGACGTGCCTGTTGCGCGCTTCAACCCGGATAGCCACTACCTCAGGTGCGTGTTGCGCCACCCCTGACGGGCTTTTCTTGGGAAGGGTGGCACGTAGGGCGGTGAGCCTCGGTGGGTGAGACCTAGCGGGGTGAGACCTAGGGAGGCGAGAGGCAACCACCATCCCAGGTCTGGTGTGGTCCTTTGCTCTGGTAGACTCCTTAACTGACCCTCATTCCCTCGGATTCTTGTTTTGCATCCATCGTACGCTGTCCCCCATGCGCGCATGGCATGGCAGGCGCTACACGCGGTTCTACGGGCACCATGGGATGGCAGCTCACCTGCTGGCCCGCGACGCTCTTTTGGGTGAGTCACGGTGAAGTGGGGTGGAGGCATGATGGGGGGAAGAGAGTGATGCGTGATCCCAGCTGCTCTTTTGGTTTGGCCTGTACTGCGAATCCCTTGACCGTCTTTCAAGCGTCTCTGGAGCATGAGCAATCGATGGAATGGTGCAGAGCTCATTGAGGTCAATGCTCCCTGCCTATTGCTTGCGCCATGGCAGGGTACAGCAACTGGGAGACGGCCATAGATGCATGGCAGCAGCCCATTCTGCAAGACGACTCACTGCCTGAATGGTATGGTATGCACGTGGCTGCTCCCCTTCCTGTGCATGCACCACATGATATGCGTAAACTCCTCGCCACTCTGTTTCCTCGTCTCTGCACTTCACTGCATTCCTGCTGTAATCTCGCCTCTTGATTTCCACCTCTGTGACTCTGCTCCACTGCCCTCCCAACCTGCCATCCTGCTCTACCCCTGCACTGCCTGCCCAACCCTCTCACAGGTACCGAGTGACGCTCTTCAACGAGCTCTGCTTCCTCACTCCCTGAGAGGAATGCAGCACCAGAAGCCCTGCCTCACCTCCTTTCCGACCCCTCTCCTCCTGCCCGCCCCCCAACCCCCAACCCCCACACACACACACACTCTGCACTCCCTCGCAGGTACCGAGTGACGCTCTTCAACGAGCTCTACTTCCTCACTGCAGGCGGCACCGTGTGGACGGGTAAGGATGAGTTACGGCAAGCTGTGGACGGAAGGGTGAGCTGTGGATGGGTAGGAGCACATGCTTGGAATGTACGATTCCTGAATGGCTGGTGTTCCCAGATTATCCATGTGCTGTGCATATCTCCCACCTCTCCTACTCCCCTGTGCATCCCCGAGTGTCAATCGCCAGCGATTCATCCTTGTTGTTTCCCCATGCACCACCCCACAACCCCCCTCCTTTCCCCCCCTCCCCCTGCCTCCTGTCCCCTACAGACGGAGGGCCACGGCTGGAGGAGAGGGAGCAGCACGAGTGGCTCAATCCACAAGACCCCTCCCACTCCCTCGCTCGCTCCGTGCTTCTCTCGCCCTTGCCCTGTACGCTCCCACCCGCTTGCCGCGGCCCCCCTCCCCTGCTGCCCTATTCGTCCATCTTTCTGCGTTCCTCCCTGCCCTTTCGCGGCTCACCACTGAAACACCTAGGCCCTGCTCCAAGGTCTCACAGCGCTGTTGTTGCTGTCCTGCTTTCAACACCGCCCATCTCCTCTTGCTCCTGCTTACCCCATCCCCCCTGATCCTGCTCCTGCGCCTACATTCACTCCCCCTGTCTTCCTGTATTCACCCATTTCCCCCTTGTCCCCTCGATTTCTCTCTCCTCTGTCCTCGGTCCCCCCCCCCTCAACCTCCTCACAGCCGTCAAGGATGAACAAGGCAAGGCAGTCGAGCCGTCTCAACCTTCCCTCACTCCATCCTCCACACCACCACCAGCAACACCAGCAGCAGCAGCAGCACCAGCACCATCAACACCAACAGCAATCACAAGGGAAGGCACAATCCAGCAGCCAACCCACCTCGCCCCCCCATCCCCCTTCTCCCCAACACCCCTCCCGGGCCCATGGAACAAGCCTCCCCCCATCCCAGGCAGGGCGCCCCTCCCCCCCAGCCTGCCCAAGAACCTCCTCCCCCTCGACTCGCCCGCACTGCCCGCGTCCACCCTGCCACGAGCCTCCTCTGCGCCCATCACGCCTGCCCGCCTGCTCTCCAGCACGTCCACCCTGTTCAGCAACATGGCCATTGGTCTCTTCCCCGCCTCCCCCATGCCTCTCCCCACAAGAAAGCCTGCTGCTGGTGTTGCTTCCGGTGGTGGCCTGTCTGCGTCGTCGTCCCTCACTCCGCCTGTTTTCGGCCCTTCTCTTTCCAGTATCCTATCTCTAAGTCCTCAGGTGAATCCTCAGGTAGGTCAGCGAGATCTGCGATCTGGGTTGTCACTGAATGAGGCTGATTTTGCTGCCCAAAGTCCGCTGGTGGATTTTCAGGCAGGTAAGCGGGACCTGCGGTCTGGATCCTCATTGAATGACGCTGGGTTGGCTGTGGGGTTTATGGGGTCTATTGGGTCTATTGGGAGGATATCGGAGCGACAGGAGGAAGAGGAGGACGCGGAAAGGGAGGGGGGAGGAGAGGGGAGGACGAACTATGGTGTTGGCTCTATGGTGCTGGATTCAACACGCAGTGATGTGGGTGGGGCAACAGCAGGAGGAGGAGAGAGAGGGTCAAGTGGCGCACAAGGTGCAGAAGCTGTTTTCGAGGCGCTTCAAGAAGGGGCATCCACCAGAAGCAGCAGCAACAATGCGGACACACCACAGTCTGCAAGTCGAAGCAGCGACACGACTTCCGCCTCCGCTCCCTCTCCCTTCTCCCTCTCATCCACCCCACCACAACCCCGCACCTCCCTCACACCACCGCCCCGCCCGTCCCTCTCCCTCGCATCAACCCAGCAACCCTCCTCCCACTTGCCCCCACCGCTCACCCCACACGAGAAGGCGCTGGACTTACCAGCCCCCATGGCGGGGCGGCTGGCAGGGGGCCCTCTGGGGCCGCACGAGCACTACAGCTGGCGCCTGTGCTCTGGCGTGCAGCTGCTGGCGCAGGGTAGAGGGGAAGGTGGTACGGGGGTGAGAGGAGATGGGGAGGGGAGAGAGGGGGTGGAGGGGGAGGGGGGGGGGGGAGGGGGAGGAGGAGGAAAATGTGGGACAGTTTCTTTACCTGGAGGGGCTTGAGTATATCATGTGGAACACGTGAGTGTGTCATGTCACTTTGGGCTGTGTGTGCTACATGCACCACCTATTCATTACAGCCTGGTGCTTGAGCTCAATTTTCTCTCAGTCATGCTCCTGCCCTGCAACCTCCCTTAACCCTCCCCCTTCCCCCTCCCCTTTACCCTCCTCTGACCCCTCCGTCTTCCCCTTTCGCCCCACGCACCCGCACCACCACCAGCTACGACGTGCATTTCTATGCGTCCTTTGCGCTGCTCGCCCTCTTCCCGCTGCTCGAGCTCAGCCTGCAACGGGACTTCGCTGTTAGCACGCTGCTGCAGGTGCCTCTACCTGCCAACTCTCCTTTCCAGACATACTGACTCCTCCGTTTGGCTTCCGTATCTGTTCGAAGGGTCTGCACCAGTTGACTGTCACTCGAACACCACCATCTCCCCTCAACGTCACCACATGCCCCCTCTCCATTCCTCCACCTTTTCTCCCTCCTTTGATTCGGCCACTCTCCCTCCCCTCTCCCATCTTTCCCCCCACAGCAACGGCGCATGACAAGGTTTCTAGCAGACGGGGCATCGGGGGTGAACAAGACGCGCGGCAGTGTGCCGCACGACCTGGGGTGCCATGACCCGTGGGTCTTTCCCAACGCATACAACATCCATGACACCGCACAGTGGAAGGACTTGAACTGCAAGTTTGTTTTGCAGGTGTGTACTCGCCTCGCCTTCCCACTGCGCTCTCCCTCCTGTGTTCCGACCTGGGCTGCCACGACCCCTGGGTCTTCCCCAATGCATACAACATCCATGACATCGCACAGTGGAAAGATCTCAACTGCAGATGTGTTGTACTGTCCTTAGAATCCGTGTTATACACCTACGGAAACCACGACACTGTACAGTGGAAGGGTCTTTACAGCAAGTTCGTGCTGCATGCTGGTGGGGAACAAATTTGTTCAGCGAATTTGTTCAGTGCACTTCAGTGAATGTGTCTCTGTGTTCACCCCCTTTCCAACCCCCTCAACCAGGTGTGTCGGGACTACAGGGCGACGGGCAACGTGCGGTTCTGCAGGGCGGTGTGGGCGGCGGTGGTGGCGGCAATGGATGCGGTGGAGAGGTTTGACCGTGATGACGACGGGCTCATAGAGAACGACGGGTTCCCCGACCAGACCTACGATAACTGGTGCGTGGCGTGTGGTATCGCATGGTGCTAGCAGTGCTGCAGGCAGAGGCAGTGCGAGAGAGTGAGTGGTGCACGGGGGTGAGTGGTGCACGGGGGTGAGTGGTGCACGGGGGGTGAGTGGTGCACGGGGGGTGAGTGGTGCACGGGGGTGAGTGGTGCACGGGGGTGAGTGGTGCACGGGGGTGAGTGGTGCACGGGGGTGAGTGGTGCACGGGGGTGAGTGCTGCACGGGGGGTGGGTGCTGCACGGGGGGTGTGTGCTGCACGGGGGGTGGGTGCTGCACGGGGGGTGGGTGCTGCACGGGGGGTGGGTGCTGCACGGGGGGTGGGTGCTGCACGGGGGGTGGGTGCTGCACGGGGGGTGGGTGCTGCACAGGGGGTGGGTGCTGCACGGGGGTGGATGCCGTGGCGCCACCCTGCTACATCCGTGTGCTTCTACAGCTGGATGGGCGAATAACGTGAAGCACCTCGTACAGGCCAACAACAGCTTGTTTCAGCAACCTGTAGCCCCGTTGTTTGAGTCGACTGAGCAATGTAGCCTCGCCGTCGCGCAAGTGCCACGTGTCAACGTCTCAACAGTCTCTGTGTGGGCCCTTTTGATCAGCACGGCGCTGTGGCAGCCTTTCAGGCGCCTCAAAATTCGTCTCTGTTGCAGCCTGCATAGCAGTGGAAAATCAAATTCCACGTTATTTCCTCTCTTTTTTTTATCTCTTTTTCGTTTCCAATCTTCTCGCCAGGCCGGTGCACGGAGTGAGTGCGTACTGTGGCGGCCTGTGGCTGGCAGCGCTGCAGGCAGGAGCAGCCATGGCGGATGCAGTGGGCGAGGCCAAGTACGCCCAGTACTGGCGACGGCAGTGTGAGCGGGTGAGTGTTTAGCAGGGAACAGAACAGAGGCGGAAAGGGGGACGGAGGGAGGGATGCAAGCGAGGGATCAGGGGACGAGATGGGCTGAGGCAGAGACGGACGTGTGGTTTCTGGCTGGGAGGAGGTTATGTGGGGGGGGGTGGGCATGACCTCTTACCAGCTGCCTCCGTGCGTTCACATCACACAACACCTTGTGCTTTTCCATGCCAGCCGCTTGCTGCTGCACCTGTGCCGCACAGTGCGAGGAAAGAGGGACGGGGCCACCAACCCCGCTTGTTGGACAGTGCTATCCACGCCACGCCAACCCCCCCCCCCCCCCCCCCCCCCCGTCGCTCTTTCCTCTGCCCCTCTCTGCCTGTTCTCCTTGTGTCTCTGCTTCTCCTTGTGTCTCTGCTTCTCCCCCTTGTCTCTGCTTCTCCCCCTTGTTTCCTCACAACCCCACAATGCGCCCCCTGTGCCCATGTGTGTCCTGCCTAGCAGGGCAGGGAGGCGTTTGTTGCCAAGCTCTGGAATGGCAGGTGCGTACACACACACACACACACATGTCCGTATTCACATGTAGGGAGACATCCCCTACATCCCCTACTCGCACCCACATCCCCTACCGCTCTCAACCCCTCTCGGCCTCGCCCCTTCTCGCTGTCACCCCTTCCCCCCCCTCGCTCCATCTCCCCCTGGCTGCATCCTCTCCCCCTCGCCCTCCTCCCCTTTCCACCTCACCCCCTCGTTCACACCTCTCTCTCCCGCGTCTGACCCATGCGCGCCTCTCCACCCAATGCACCCCTGCGTTGCCCCTGGCCTCCACCTCGCAGGTACTTCAACTACGACAGCGGCAGCAGCAGCAACAGCAACTCCATTCACGCGGATCAACTCGCAGGCCAGTGGTGCGTGCAGGGGTGAGCGGGGGGATACTGGTGGGTGCATAGGGATGGGTAGCGGTAGGTGCAGGGGGGAGGGGAGATGGTGGGTTGAGCAGTGGGCAGGGCACTCGTGGGCTTGAGTGGTCGAGCCTCACTTCCTTCCTCTCTCCGCCCCTGCGTCTCTCCCCAACCCCACACCCCTCCCCATGTGCGGAGCCAGTTACCTGAGGAGCTGTGGCCGTGCCCCCCCTCTTTGACTCATTTGCAGCCCCTGTTCAAAGAGAGGAAGGAAGGATTATGTGCCTCCTCATAATCCCTCCCGTACACCCTCACTCCCCCTCTTGCAGGTACCTGTGGAGCTGTGGCCTGCCGCCGCTCTTTGACTCAGCCATGGCATGCAAGGCTCTCCAGATGATCTTTGAGTGAGTGTGGCATGCGGATAGTGTTGGAGTGAGGGGGTGGGGACTTATGCAATGTCTTTTTTTTTTCCATGAGCAGTGCATGTGACACTGGTTTGAGGGTTGTTGGCATCGGTGCAACGTTTTGTGTGGGCGGTTTTACGCTTTCGCGGATCGTTAATGATTCTCGAGGAAGGGTGTAAATTGTAATGTACATGATACTCTGGGTGTGGAGTGTATGTATAATTATATTGTGAAACAGGCAGTAATTGCTGTGGTGACTGATCACTTTTCGCGCTGTCTGACTGGAGATGATCGCTCTTTCTGGCCACGCTCCGAACTATGACCCATGACCCATGCCCCATACGCCCTATGCCCTATGCCCCATGCCCCATGCCCTATGCCCTATACCCCATGCCCCATGTGTGATGGCCATGGCACCATCAGGTACAATGTGATGCGGCTGGAGGGGGGCAGCATGGGGGCCGTCAATGGCATGCGACCCAACGGCCAGGTGGGGGTCTGGGCAGGTGGGATCTGGGCAGGTGGGATCTGGGCAGGTGGGATCTGGGCGGGTGGGATCTGGGCAGGTGGGATCTGAACGGGTGGCATCTTCATGCCCCATTCTCTCGTCTTCGCTCTTCTCCTCACTCTGTTCCTCACCCTCCTCACTGCGCTCCTCACTCCCTCCTCACTCTCCTCCTCACTTGGGTACTCTGCCAGGTGGATGACACGTGCTTGCAATCGCGGGAGGTGTGGACAGGTGTCACGTACGGATTGGCTGCCACAATGATCTACGAGGTGAGACTGCACCATACCATCATAAAAAGCGTCGACTCCTTTCACAGCCCCCCCAAAGACTCCTTTCACAGCCCCCCCAAAGACTCCTTTCACATGCACCATGCAGCATGCAACATGCACCATGCACCATGGTCATGCTTCACTCATGCACCATTCGCAACTTGGCTTGTTTTGATGCACAACATGCCGTCAACTTGCTCATGCCATGGAATGGAATGGTATGGCACGGAATGGTCTGCCATGGCATGACATGTCTTCAAGCCGCCTTTCACCAAATCATATCCACTTTATGGCATGAGAGCGACGCTTACATGCATGTGCTAGTTGACGGCATGTTGTGCATGATGCTAGTTGACGGCATGTTGTACATGTCTGTGTCCTCACCCCACACCCCCCTCCCACCACTCCTGTTCCTGGGACCTGCAGGGGATGCACTCACAGGCCTTTCGCACGGCACAGGGCATTCACCAGGCGGGCTGGGATGAGCTAGGGTGAGTTGCATTGCATGGTATGGTTGGTAGTATGAGCTATGCTGCGCTGTGCAATTGGTGGGATGTGTTGTGACAAGCAATGTCCACACATGATGAGGTTCGAGGTTTTTTTTGGCATGGTAGGTGCATTCCTCACCTTTTCCTCCTCCCTCTGACTTCAAACATGGGCAGGTACTGGTTTCAGACCCCTGAGGGGTGGGACACGGATGGTCGCTTTCGCTCATTAGCATACATGCGCCCGCTTGCCATATGGGCAATGCACTCTGCATTGAACAGGGGTAAAATTACTTCGTCACAGAAACGTGCTTGAATTCATGTTTTCAAACTTTCAGAAAGAAAATCGCTAACAACGAGGTTGCAGGTGTGCTTGATGAAACGCCCCAGGCCCTTCGGTGCTGAAATTCCTGGTGGAAAGTGGTATACTTCGAAAACCGCTTCACACTGTGAAACCGGCCTGAACCAGAAATCATGAACTGTATATGTAAGGTCTGACCTCTGCTCACGTTGGCCTGCTACAAAATAATTGACTTTCATATAGTGAAGTGAAACCAAATGAAAACAAAGGTATGAAGGGACTGTAAGGATTTACAAATCCTTACTGAGGCACTCGTTAGCGAGGCCATCCCGAGGGTCATGCGACGAACCTGACCTTCCTATTTCGTTGCACCGAACCACTCCCGAGTCGGCCTCCGCTCCAATCGCAACCATCACCAAGCCATCCCATCCCGAACCCCCCGCCTAGCTAGGTTTTCCCCTATTTAGGCCTCGCTACTTCATTGTTTCTGATCCAGTACTCAATCATTCTCGATATTTGTTTTACTGCGCACCCTGCAAGTTGATTCATAACACCTGGTATCAGAGCTACTTTCCTAGCTCACCCCGCTTTTTAGAGTGTAATACCCCTCGGGGGGGGGGACGAGGAAGGATGTCTTGGGGTCCAGGAGTTGCGTAGGCCGGCCAGGAGAACGAGTTAGTTGCTCCTCGCGGCCATAGTTTTACGGGTACTCCTTCGGCACCGCCAGATCCTTGCCTCGAACGGTTGCGATCGACCGTGGCCTCCCTCCCCCCGGGCAACGGACAGCTGTAGCTGTCGCGACATTAAACGTGAGTTTCTATTCCGCTGCGGTTTGAACGACGATTTCGGGATTTTGTGAGACAGCTGGCGTCAGCGGACCTGCGTCGGCACCTGCACGAAATTTGCGGAAGTCGTCAGCGTGTGTGGCAGTTGACGCCGTCGGACCTGGGTCAACAGTTGCGCGACAACTTCGGAGTCGTCCCATGCGGCAAGTGACAACGGTGGCTCGTCGTCATGTTGCGCGCGTGACTCACGGAGTGTGGCTCGGCAGCTGGCGACAAGGGACATGCGTCACTGTGGCGATAATTTCGGAGCTACTGTGGAGAAAAAGTCGGTTGGGGAACTCGCCAGGCGCATATCGAGTTTTGCGTCCGAAAATGTCGGTGGCGAGGAGAGACGACACTAGACTGCCCGACTTAGCGGGAGTCAACTACCGTCCCGCCCGATCTGTTAAGTGCGGCGGCTTTTACTGCATTGGCGGGCGCGTCATCAGCAATTTTCGGCAGGAGTGCTCGTGGACAGACGGGACTTCATACCTGCTGACACTTACGGGCTGCAACGGAAAACGCGGTGGCTAAATCGCACTTACGAGGAAGTGGGACGCAGGCGACGAGGGAAATCGGGGCAGGTACACCTCGAATCAACTCGGTGACACTGCGTACCTAATGTTGTTGCAAGCTGGCCGGCACTATCGAAAACAGTTTCTCCTGACCAGGGATGTTGTTTTCGGGGACAGCTGCTGACAGCCCACGATTAAACGGTGCCCAAGGTACCGCCCGACAATTTAGGAGGGGTCGGTACAGGCTGCCGGGACACACGGGCAGAAACGGTCCAACGGCTAAGCGGGGGTTGAAGAACGTCGTGGGGAGCAGATTAAAAGCCAGAGGAATCGATCTGCGGCCCTACTTCGCCCGAACCTCACCATCCCCACCAAGTCCTGGTTCTGACTCATGCAGTCAACCTACTTGGCCGAATAACGGGGGTGAACACGTGCCTACCCTGTGCTGGTTAAAGGCACCTGGATTGGTGCCCGTACGACAGCTGTACAGAAAATACAAAAAAAAGTGGAGTTCGCGGCATTGTTCTACTCCGACAAAAGCGGGCTGGGTGAACGGCACGCGAAAAAGTCGGGGAGCTGCGAGGATAACATCGGTGCAGTTTACAGGTTTCTCCTGACCCGGGCGTCTACACACGAGGTGACGGCGCAGCGGCGAAGCTGAGACCGGGAAGCTGTGAAATTTTAGTGGCGTGATAGGCACGGCGGGCTGCAAAACGGTTGGGCGACAGTTTCCTTTTAACTAAGGCTGCCCCGACTCCGATAGCTTTTGTCTCTCCAACGTGGCCGAGTTCGCGCGTGCAACAACGACGATACCTCATCCGACAATAGCGCACGCTGGGTGAACGGCGGGAAGCGGAATTGCCGGGGGGTGAATACGAAAAAAATGACGACGGAGGGAAAGTTGTGGGTGATCCAACAGATCACTTGAGTGAGAGGTTGAGCCCGTGCACCAATCCACCGCGAATTTTGGAGTCTATTCGGTAGACCCCCGAAAGGGTTTGATATTGTTACATGGAGGCGCGGCGAGCGGTACATTGCCAATGATACCTGGGATTCGCTAAGTGGTTTCGACGGGTATGAAGATGGGTGAACATCCGAGTACCAGGGTTAACGGCGGAAACGTCGGGGCCACACGGCGGAGAATAACTTCGGGACTGCTGCCTCAACCATGATTTTCGGGTGACTTTTCATACAAAAAAAAAACGAAAAAATAGAAGCTGAGGGTGTTTCTTCGCTTCTTGGAGTGCCGTTGAGCCGTTGAGGGACTTCGCCTAAAGGGTCACTTTTAAGTCGCCTGGCAAGAAACACAGCGGCGGGGATACCTAGAACTCACTGGTGTTTAAACGCACACCGCGGGAAATTCTTCAGTTAAAGGGAGCGTGGGAGCAGCCGAAGTTTTCGGATAACCTACCGGCGACGAGCGATGGGTGAACATCTGCAAAGCGCCAGTGGGAGTTTTGCGTGGTTTTCGGTTAAACTTCATCGGCGGGAGCAGTTTCGACGACGAGGTCAACGGCGTTGACGCCACTAGGTTCCGTGAAATTCGGTCTCGGAAGACCCAGGGCAGTCCCCGGTTCTCGATTGAACCCACACGCTGGGGTCGGGTAACCGAAGGAAACTGATGGTGACCGGGTGGGCGGCTATAGAACGACCGAGATTTTCGGAGGAGAGCTGCACCTGCATCTGCGGTTTCGGGGCTGTGTTCAAACGACATTTTCGAAGTATACGCGGGACTTCACAGGTTTTACGGCGAGAAGCGGCGAAAATTTCGGAGGAGAATTCGGCGTTTGGTTAAACGTGCGCGACATTTACGCAGGGCAACACCACGGGAACTACACGGAGTTTTCAAGGGGTACGAACGACTTACGACGAACTGAAGAAGGCGGCAACAACAGTGACGGGGGGGGGGGGGGGAGCGACAGCTGTAAAATTTCATCCCTGCCCTTTAACTCTCGGCGCATTACGACAAATTTCTCGGAGAAACCATTCCAACCCTGCTACCGACAACTCGCCTTTGACCCGCCCACGACAACTGCATTCAATATCAACCACGTCAGGTGCTGCCAACTGCAACTGCTGAAGATATCGCCTGATTTTCCGGCGAGATGACGACAAAACAAGTCCATTTCGAGCAATGTGGATTTTCCGTTGCGGTTTCTGATCTACTTCCGCTGGCTCGCCCATGATAAATTTTGGGGCACATACACCTGGTGTCATCATCGAGTTTCCACACCGACACGTTTTCACCTTGTCCCCTACGCTCAACGCTCGTTTTCAGTGGGACTTAACACCTGGTTCTGTTGGGTTTTACTTCGGCGCAGCTTTGAAGTTTCTGTGGACAGCTTTCTTGGAGGGGGGGAGAAAGTGCGCTGCACTGTTATTTCCTTGGCGTTTTTCTTGGTCCTTTCTGAGTTTGTCAGGTTGCGTCAGCACGACGGACGATCGCGATCACACCGACAAGATCAACGGTCCTTGCTTAATCGCGTTTGAACTCGCGTCAGCAGGCTCCTTCTCTTTTCGCGTCAGTCTTCGACCATCAGACCTACACCTGCTCGATCTACGGCCCACATTCCAACTCCTACTTCATTTTGGGCAGTTCATCTTCGACCGTCAGATCGAAATCGGACTTCATCAACGGCTTACATTCCAACCTTTTCAAAATTATAGTCAAAGGCATTTCGGCCGTCGGATTCAGCTAAGGAGGAGATCTACGGAATCCTCGCTAGTGTGGGGCCTGTTTCAGTACAGGGCTGCCTTATTTAGAAGGTGGGAGAGTGTAAGGATTTACAAATCCTTACTGAGGAACTCGTTAGCGAGGCCATCCCGAGGGTCACGCGACGAATCTGACCTTCCTATTTCGTCGCACCGAACCACTCCTGAGTCGGCCTCCGCTCCAATCGCAACCATCACCGAGCCATCCCATCTCGAACCCCCCGCCTAGCTAGGTTTTCCCCTATTTAGGCCTCGCTACTTCATTGTTTATGATTCAGTACTCAATCATTCTCGATATTCGTTTTACTGCGCACTCTGCAAGTTGATTCATAACAGGGACAGTTGTATCTGGAATTGTTCCAGACAGGACTGGTTTGCAGATGTTTGGGTGACGCCATCTGAAAATGTCAGAAACCAATAACTGTCCCAACCCAACACTCGTGTTTTCAATCTCCACGTCAACTTCGACGATTGGGTTTGGAACAGAAGCTTCCACACGGAATTCATTAATTTCACGCGGAGAGCCGCGAACTGTGCTGGACGGCTCAGTATAGCTCAGCCGACAAGCGACCCCGCCGGATGAGCTCTCTGCCCGCGGGCAAAACAAATAAACCCCAGTCGGGCACGCATCCGGTCAGGGAGGCATCAACCCTAAACACGGGGAGGTATGGATTTAGGGTTGATGCCTCCCTCGGATGGCATGCCATCCGATGGGGTTTTAGTTTTTTTCTGCCCGTAGGTCAGGTCGACGGTGGTCGAAAGTGACTGTGCTGGACGGATCCAAATGTGGCAGCAATGACTTCGAGCGGTCAATGTGCCTCGCTTCGAGTGTGGTGGTGGCGGTGCCTGGGGCAGCAAAGGACACTGCTGCCGAAAGTCGAGAGCGATGTCATAAGCTGTACACTTGGCACGCTCAGAGTGGTTGTTCTGGTTGCTTGCAGCATTGTACCATGGCAAGATTCCAGGTCCGTGCAGGTTCCTGATCTTACTTGATTGCATTTCTGTATTTCTGCCTACAAGTTGACGAGGTGCCTGGTTGTGTTTCTGGAATCGAATCGAGAGAGCCCCAATCCAAAGTTTCCAAGACTGTTACTGTTGCCCTTTCAGAACGACTCTAGAGGTGTACACGTAATTCATTTAGGCCCTTCTACCTAAAAAAAAAAAATGTTTGCCCCAAGATTGTCCCGCATGTTTTTTCGCAGTTTCCGCGATCTGACAACCTGGTTCGAAAGATTCCACAATCGTTTTGTTTTGGCAAGACGGACCTACCTGAGGAAAAGCTCCAGTTTAACGTGACTGCCACCTGTCAGCTAGGGAGTGGAGAAAAGTGCACTTGATTTGGATCTTTCCATTCCAGCCAAGCAGTTGCACTAGGCGTAGAACAGCAACGAATGGGGAAGCGAGGAAAGCGACAGCACTTCGTCCGCACACTCGAGCTGCCGGTGCTGTCGTCGAGACTCGTGTGCTTTCTACCCTGGTACTGTGTCCCTCCGCCACCCCTACGTCAACCAACCAAACCCCATTTCCATCCCGCTCTTTCCCTCTACCGTTCTGTTTCCGTTTCTGTTCCAAACCATGGCCCCTTCTCTTCAACCACCTCCCCAACCCAAGCCACCATTCCATCACTCTTCAGCCATTCCACACCCCACATTCCCCTGTGTTCTTCACTTTGAATCTCACATTTTTTGCCCGTCCGTGACCTACGCTCCAGAGACTCCATTAGAGCAGCAGGCGTCCTGTTCGGGTTAATTCGCTCGTCTCGCGGTTCCAGCTTCTAATTCTGCCGCCGCTTTAGTGGTGAATCTTAGACATCGATCGGCCCCTGGACTTTCTTCGCGAGAAGACATTAGATACAATCTGTTCGAGGTTACGAGAATGTCGTCGTCCGTAGCCGTCGATTTTATCCACGAGCCGCCTCGCTCGCAGTATTGGGAGCATCAGGAGCCGTCGAACACTTCCCACCACTACCAACACCCCCACCCCCGCCACCCCCACCACAACCATCACCGTGAACCCAGCGACAGTTCTGCTCCCGTATATTCCCTTAACGAGCCATCGAGTCACGGTATATCTTTGTCGCCGCGGTTCGCCGAGTCTCATTTTGCACACCATCGCCGAGTCGCGTCGCAGGAATCGTTCGCACAGTCGGGGTTCCGCAACCTGCAGCAGAGCAGCTCGTGCGGGGCACGGCAGATGGCGGATTCCGCGTCTTCCTTCGATCTCCGCGAGCTGGAGAGCCAGTCGATTTTGACTCTATCGCAGTGCGACGACGGCGACTCGAGCTCCACCACCACTAGCAGCAGCACCGTGTCGTGCCAAGGCGCGTTCGGCGTGTTCGCGCGTCGCAGACGGCGCCCGAGCAGCCGCAGGGAGACGCCTATTGCCAGCCCTCGCGCTGGCGCACACCATTCTGTGATTGGTGGGTTTCCCGCGACTCGTAAAACGTCGCAAGTGGCACCCGCACCAGAGCTACCGCGTCTTCTTCACCATGAGATGCGCCGTGACATACGGAGGAGTGACGGAGAGGAGAGCGGCGACGACGGGGACGGCGGAGGGGGCGGCAATAGGAGCGGTCGAAGCAGCGCGGCGGTTACGATCTTGAAGGATGCCGCGCAGACCGTTGCGCGGAAGGTGCGCGGCGCCGATGCCGCCGCGTGGGGGCAACTCGGAGCGCTGCAAGGGGGCGCCGTCCCCCGACCCATCGCCGGGGCCGCGCGTCGCCAGAAGCCGCCCCTCGCGCTGAAGCCGCGGCCATTTAACGAGCGCGACGGCTGCCCCTCGCCCGCGAGCAGCGGAGAGGTGGCGCTGATGCGGCCTCCGAAGTCCCCCGCGAGCAGCGGGGAGATTGCGCTCCTCGAGGCGGAGGAGATGTTGTTCGGCGCGAACCAATGGTCCCCCGCGAACAGCGGAGAGATGCCGCTCGTGGGATCAAGGGAGTTTGCGCCGCTTCCGGCGACCCCGGAACGGCGCAGGGGCGACTACGAGGAAGTGAGCGAGGGGTTGGTGGTGGAGGTCGCACCTGGGGGAGGCAGCATGCACCGCTCCACGTCGCCGTCGCTGTGGAACCAGCTGGGGTCGGTTTCGGAGAATCTGCTGCTCGCCGCGCGACAGAAGAAAGGCGCTGCCTCTCTCCCCGCAGTGGACGCGCCTTCCGCGCCGCTGCATCCCAGTAGCGCCCCCAAGGCCTCGCATACGCGCTATGCGCGCAAGGCGCAGCACCGCCACGGGCTGTCTCTCGGCGACGCGCCCTTCGCTGATGCGCCCGTCGGCATGGATGCGCCGCTGCCGCTGTCTGCTCTTCCGCCAGTTGTCGTTAGCGGGGCCAGCGCGCCCGCATCGAGCGTCAGCGCGGACAGCATCGCCGTTGGTAGCTTCGGCGCGAGTGGGAGCAACCGGAGCGGCCGTAGCGGCGGGAAGAAGAGCAGCAAGGGCCGGGTTGCGGTGCGGGCGAGCGCGTCGGCCGTGGAACTGGACCGTTGGAGCGTGCTGCCGTACGAAGGCGGGCGGGAAAAGCCGCGCGAGTCGCGAGAGTCGATGCGAGTCAAGCAGGCGCCGAGCAGCAAGGAGCACGGCGGAGTGACGGGCGGAGCGGCGGCAGTGCCGGGCGACTTCCTCTCGTCGTACTTCGGCGATGCGCCCGACGCGTACGTTGGCGAGTTCGCGCTGCAGGAGGCGCGCAACGCGGCGCGTAACGCGCACAAGAAGACAACGGCGCAAACCGAAAGCGTTGTCAGTGCGACCCCGCGCAAGCAGCTAACGGCGGACGCGGAGGTGCGTCAGATGCTGGCGGAGAGGCAAGCGGAAAGCGAGCGCGCGGAGGAGAGGAGGAGAGAGGAGCGGCAGCAATGGGCGGACGAGCAGCAGCGGCTGCAGCAGCAGCTGCAACTACTCCGGCAGCAGCAAAAGCTGCAGCTCCTACAAGCCTTCCACGAGACGAACCAGCAGCACCTGCGCCCGTGCGACTTCGTGCTCGGTCGCCCGTACTCGTCACTGCTGCGGCGCTTTGTGCTCGCGCCGCAGGAGCTGGGCAGCGGGCAGTTCGGCGTGATCCGCAAGTGCGTGGAGCGCGGAACCAACCGCGTGCTGGCGTGCAAGACGATCCTCAAGAGCAACATCGTGGCCATGCAAGACGCCGCGGACATTCGCCATGAGGTGGCCGTGATGGAGGCGCTCAAGGGCCATCCGCATGTGGTGAAGATTGAGGATACGTGCGAGGACGAGGAGGCGGTGCATATCGTGATGGAGCTTTGCTCCGGAGGTGATTTGTTCGATCGTGTGAAGGATGAGGGCCGGCTGAAGGAGCGGACGGCTGCGATCGCGTGCCAGCAGGTGGTGCAGGCGCTGATGTGGTGCCACGTGTCAGGCGTGGTGCACCGGGATGTGAAGCCGGAAAACATTCTGCTCAAGGGGCGGAGAGAGGGCGGCAGTGATGGGGATGCGCAGAACAAGGGGAATCTGGGCGCGGCTGCAGCGGTGCTGGGAGGCATTATGGCTGCTCCTGCGAAGGTCGCGGGTGGTGCTGTTGACGAGGACGAGATTCACGTCAAGCTCGCCGACTTCGGCGTTGCCACGTTCACTCGGGGTGAGCATTCCGTTGCTCCCTTCTTTTGGTTCTCCCTTCCTCTTCCTCCCACCCCTCCGCTCCTCATCGTGCCGCTTCTGCCCCCCTTTCCCCCCCACGTCGTATTCACCAACCTTTCCCCTTCCACACCTCCCCATTACTTTCCACCCCTCAGGCGAGCCATGCACGGAGGAGCTGGGCACGCTACAGTACATGGCGCCTGAGGTGCTCTCGGGAACATACGGCCCAGCGGCTGACATCTGGAGCGCGGGCGTGGTGCTGCACATCATGCTCTCGGGTCGCACGCCCTTCTTTGCGTCGCTCGGACGCACCGTGCAGGAGGCGATTCTGCACGGCCCTGTGCGCATGCGCGGGCCCCACTGGGAGGGTGTGAGCGAAGACGCCAAGAGCCTCGTGCGCGCCATGCTGGATAAGGATGCCTCCACACGAATTACTGCCAAGGAGATTCTTGGTGAGTTAGCGCAGGCCTTGAGATTGTCTGCGAGAGTTTTTTAGGAGCATGTCTTATTGGGTGGGGGTTTGTGTATGGTGGGCAAGGGTTTTGTTTGTGAGTGGCTGGGGTGGTGGTTGTGAATTGTGCATCTCAGCTTTGTGTTAGGATTTTACTGAGCCTCTTTCATGGCATTCTTGCTATCTTCAAATCCTTGTGTGGTTTGTCTCAGGTCATCCTTGGATTGCCAAATACACGCAATGAAGCCGGTTCCTGGCCATCCATGTGCTGGGTGGTTTTAATTATAATGCAGCTTAGCTGCTGAGTAGTAAGTTGGTTAATGTAGTCCACTAAAGGCATGCTTCAGCCTTGTCTTTCTTTAATTCTGGGAGAGCCTGCATTGTTGGTTTGCTTATGTGGCTGTCTGCCCTGACTCTTAACTGCATTGTTAAATTCATCAGTGTACCTGTATATGCTTCGCTTATTGAGACCAGATTATGCCAATTCTGTACTGGCCCATGTTACGGAGACAGTACACCAAATCTGAAAAGTTGTTGCCGTCACTATATCTGCCTAATCATAAGGTTGGGAGAAGGCAGGAAGCAACGTGCTTGTACTTCATCACACGCTTCCAATTGGAACAACACAGCGTTTCCCCTGTCTTTCATCCCCTGTTACAGTCACTCTCATTCACTCCCAGGTACAGTGTCTCTAGACACCATTGCTGACGTCTGGAAGCTTCCTTCTCTTTACCTGTACGAGGACTGTACTAACTCTAGCACAACAGAACAGTTGTCAGTCGCATTCGCAGGCACTGGCAGAGTCGCATGGCAGGTCTCATCGACGAAACCCTAATCCATCCGTACTCCTGTCCTGCCATCCACGAATAGCCAGTATTTTGCTGTGATTATGTTGTTTCGCTTCTCTCTTGTCGCATCGTCCCTGGTGTAATCCCTCCATGCTCCTCGACCTTTTTACTCTTGGATTTGCATGAGAGTATTATGGCTTCGGCACGATAATATTATGACTTCGCACGACCGTATATTGACTTCGCACGGCAGCATCGTGACTTCGCAGGATGATATCTTACTAACTGCTCTCCCGGGTAACGCGTCAGGCCAAGTAGCCGTTAGCGCGGCTGAAACCCCTTCCATGTTGCCGTCCGTGACGCAGTTATGGTCGGAACTGCACGTTTCGGTCGACAATGAAAACCCTAAGCTCCTCGGGATCAGAGGGATGCCGGGAGAGAAGTGCAGCTCTATCGGCGTCTCTGCCCATCAGCAACAGCCGCAACGTCCGCAAAAGTGCGAGCAACAACAACTGCAGCCGGAGCAGCAACAGCAGCAGCAGCAGCGGGAGCAGCAGCAGCACCAACAGCAGCAGGAGCAACAACAGCAACAGCAGCCGCGAGAGCAGCTGCTGCAGGATTTGCCGCTGCAGTTCTTAGATCCGTCGCAGCTGTCGTGGCTTTCAGACTCGACGCAGCTCCCATGGAATTCGAACGATGTCGCTGGCTTCGTTACAAGCAGCGACGAAGAGCTCTTAAAGCAAATGCAGTTGCCTAGTACAGGAAAACCTGACAAATCGTCGGTAAATTTTCCCCGGCCGTTGGATCTAGACGAAGCTGTTGCTAGGGCCATGATGGTTGGATCAACCTCGGGCGCAGGTTCGGATCTAGGTTCGGGAGCAGGTTCTGGAACAAGTTCAGGAATGGGGGGTGACGGTTTGGCGTCATTAGATGCGGAGCAGCTTGAGTTTCAGCAGCAGCAGCTGAACTTGGAGATGCAGATTCTGCTTCATCATCAGCAGCAGCAGCAGCAGCAGCAAGACCAACAAGAGCAGCAACAACAACAGATGGATCTACAGGCAGCAGAACCAGCGACAGAAACAGCAAGAGCAGCAACAGCAACAGCAACAGCAAGAGCAACGGCAGCGAGAGCAGCAGCAAGAGCAAGGGCAGCGACAAGAGGATATGTCCGCGCTGGCGACGCAGATGCTGCAGCAGGTGCAGCAGCAACGGCTGTTGCAACATCTCGGCCAACTTCAGCAGCAGCAGCAGCAGCAGCAGCAGCAGCAGCAGCAGGAGCTAATTCGGCATCAGCAAGAGCAGGAGCAACGAATGTTGCTGCAGCTGCAGCTCTTGCAGCAACGGCGGCTGTTACAGGGACAAGCACACGATGTCCTCTCACCACGGGGACTCATGCTGATGCACCAACAGCAGGAGCAGATGCAACAGCAGCTGCATCAACAGGAGCACGAGCAGCATCAGCGGATGCAACAACTGCAGCAATTGCAACAGCAACAGCGGCAGATGCAGCAGGCGCAGGTGACACAGCAACAGTATGATCGACTGCACCCAGCACTAACGCAGCGAGCGCTAACACAGCAAGCGGTAACGCAGCAAGCGCTAACAGAGCAAGCGGTAACGCAGCAAGCGCTAACACATCAAGCACTAACACAGCAAGCGATAAAACAACAGGCGATAACACAGCAAGCGCAGCAAGCTTTAGCACGGCAAGAACAAGCAGCAGGAGGCCTGTTGCAAGCCGCATCAGCGCAAACCGACCTGCTCAGCAGCACCGCTCTCAACCCCTGTGACCGAGCCTCCGTGGCTTGGCGGCAGGCTCGGGAGCAAGTCCTGCTTCAGCTGCGGAACCAGCCTTTGCCTGGAAGTTTCCTGGCCACGAGAGGTGCTGCGCTGGGTGCATCTTGTGGGGATGGTGGGATTCAAGGCTTGTTGGCGCAGGAGGGTGGAATGCAGGGGGGTGGATCGCTGGGGCGTATGGCACAGGGGGGTGAATCGCCGCGTGCCCCTCTGGTGGGTGCGGCAACGCGGGCAAGCGGAGGGCGTGATGTGCTGTGCGAGGGGGGGCGAGCGTGGGACGTGCACGCCACTGGGGAGGCTGGAGGGGGTTGGGGTGGTGGCAGGCGGTGTGAGGAGCGGTGGCATGGGCGCGGGAGGCGCGGCGGGTGTGGGGATGCGGAGGGATGGGTGCGGGAGGCGAGTGGGAGCTGCTGCAGCAGCTGCTGGGGGGATCGGCTCTGGTGGGCGAGGGTGGTGGTGGTGCTTCTGCTGCTCCTGCTGGTGGTGGCGCGAGTTCAGGAGGAGCGCTTCAAGCGCAAGCCATGGGGCTGGCACAGCATACCAACCAACGCGCTGCTGCTGCTGCTGCTGCTTGCTGCTACGGCCACCACTTCGCGTTCTGCTTCTGCTGCTGGTGTTTTTGCTGCCAGTACGAGTGCAGCACTGGAAGTTCCTGCGCGGTCATCAGTGGGAGGGAAGAGGCTCCGGGACCAACCAACAGCTATGCGGCTGCTATGCCGGCTGCTGCTGCTGCTCTTGCCTCTGCTGGTGCTGCTTCAGCCGCTGCTAGTCGTGGGGCACTTGGCAGTGCTGCGCCTCCCCCTCCTGCCTTCCGAGCCTGCGAAACAGCCTCGGGATCACCTGCCACGACGGATTCCCCTGCCACGTCAGCGTCGGCGCTCTCATCACCATCGCATTCCACATCGGGCTCTGGAGGAAGCTCGTCCGGTCAGGGCGGAGGGGTGCTGGGGAAAAGGGCGTCCGGCGGAGGTGTGCTGTGGGGACGTGTGGCGGGGGCAAGGGCAGGTGAGGGAGGGGCAGGTGTGTTGGGTGGAGGTGTGACTGGGGTAGGTGTGTCTCATTCCCCCCCCCCACGGCCAGCTCTCATCCCCCCATTCTGACCCACAGCCCACCTGGACGCAACCTGCTGCCTGCCGTCGCCACCACCCCCACAGCCTGCTCACCTCCACCCAACCCGCTCCCACGTACTCCCACCACCGCCACGACCCACCACGCCTCCTTCCATGAACCCGCAAGACCCGCATGCACGAACCAAGCCTCGCCCAGAACGCGCGCTGGCCCTGCTGTGTCTTCTAGGAGCCTCCCTGCCTCTGCATCTGCATCGGCTTCTGCGCCTGCAGCAGCTGCGTCTAGGAGCAGCAGGGCGCGGAGGGCCCCTCCGTCCGCGCTGGCGTCTCGCCTGGCGGCCGTGCTGAACGACATTCAGTCCAAGCCCGCCCCGCCCTTCGCCTCTGCATATGCCTCCCGCTTGTCCCCTCCCTCAGCTGCCGCGTCCCTCTCTCCCTCTGCCCCTCCCTCGGACTTTGGCGTTCCCTCTGCCTCTGCCGCCGCCTTTCCCGCCCTCACTTGCTTGGACGCGTCAGGGGCTCGCGGGACAGAGGAGGAGCAGGCAGCGGCACAGGGGGGGGTTGCTTCGGGTGGGGCAGCAGGCGGGGAGATGATGGTGGTGGGCGGTAGGGTCCGAGGCATGGATTCCTTTGGATTTACCAGGGCTAGTGCATTGATTGGTGGTGCTGCTGGTGGAACCGGGGGTGCTGCTGGGTTTGGCAGCGGTACTGGTGGTGGCGGGAGCAGCTACGCTGTTGCTAGGGAACTTTTGGAGGCATTGCCAGGTGGCGCGACCGGATTGGACGACCTTCAGTCGCTGCAGCCCCCGGGGTCTCGCCGCCGAACCTCCGGTCTTTACGGGGTAGGAGCAGTCTCTCTTGATTATAGGGATGCTGTTTCTTTTAACGAATCTGGCTATAGCGGATCTGGCTGTTGGGTTCCCTGGGGGGCCTGGGAAGGAGGAGCAAGTGGTATGTCAGATCAACTTATAAAGGGGATGGGGGAGAATGCAGCAAGAGGAGGCAACGCTGCAGTGGCAGCACTGTCCGCAGCTTGGTGGGAGGCTCGGGGGCAGGTCGGAGCCTTGGAATTCCCCAGGCCTACCGCTGGACCTGTATCCGTTGAAGTTACAGGCCCGGATGTTTCTGGGAAGTTTCGCTCAGTGGAGAAATTTGCGCGGGCACAGATGGTGGCGATGGCGGAGGCGGCAGAGGCGGGCGACACCGGGCGGTTTCACTCGGCGTTTGTGCAGCTGAAGCCGCTGGGGAAGGTGCGAGGAAATGCGGTGGAGCGGCTGACGCACTACGTGTTGGAGGGGCTGATGAGGCGCATGGCTGGGACAGGGTTCCAACACTTCTGCACCCCTCTTAGGCGCCCTCCCAAGGTACGAGATGCAGGCATGGGGTGGTAAGTCAGTCACTCTGTGCTGTAGAGTGGTTGACTCACTACGTGTGGTGGAGGGGTGGTTGAGGCGCATGGCTGGGACGGGGTTCCAACACTTCTGCTCGCCTCTTAGGCGCCCTCCCAAGGTGAGACACTCTGAGACTCCGAGCAGGGTCGTAAGTCACTCTCTGTGTGCAGTGCAGCGGCCGACTTTACGAGGGCCTTATGAGGCGCTTGGCTGGGTCAGGGACCCAAGAGGCGCCCTCCCAGGACATGAAGGTCCAGACGAAACGTCCCCTGGTACGATGCTGTTCTTGGGAAGTGAGCGACTCTGTAGCGAGCCAGAGCAAGCATGGTGAAAAGCGGGTGCAAGTTACGCAAGCTTTACTCAAATCTGGCGCTCCCTCCTCCCTTTCCCTTTCCCCTTCTCCTCCCCCCTTTCCCTCCCCCTTTCTCCTCCCACCTTCCCCTCCCCCCTTCCCCTCCTCCCGGTCCCAGGAGCTAGACGAGGCCCTGACCCTGTACGCGTCCTCACAGCCGTTCCCGCTCTTCGCGAGCATCTCGGTGGCGGGGCTAGTAGCAGAGGCAGTGAGTGGCAGCACGCACGTACACATAGTGGACTTTGGGTGCTTCCAGCCCATCCACCTGCCCGTGCTCATGGACCTCCTCGCCTCCCGCCCCGGGGGGCCGCCGTCTCTGCGCCTCACTGGGATGGACACCGCGAGTTTCATTTGTGCGGGGAGGAAGGACTTTAAAAGGCTGAGGGCGATGGAGGACGTGGGGAGGCGGCTGCGCGGCGTGGCGCGGCACCTGGGCGTGCCGTTTGAGTTTGAGAGCGTGAATGTGGACGAGGATAACCTGCAGCTGCTCTACCAGGTGAGATGAGAAGGTATCTGCAGCTGCTCTATTAAGTGAGGATCCGCCTGCACCAAATCAGCCTGCCTGTCTGTACTAGGTGAACCCTGTACTAGGTGAACCCTGTACTAGGTGAACCCTACACCAGCTGAGGTGGACCCGCAGCAGGTGAGGTTGAATGGTGCTGTTCACTCAATGCCCAGCTTCACAGTGCTTTGTTCCTGAACTCTCCTCTTCCTTCTTGTCCCGCGCATGTGATGTGGAGTGGCGGTGGCACGAGGCGCTGGTGGAGCCGTGCGTCCTTTGAGACGTCTCAAAAGTGAGCTACTGCTGCTGCTGCCCTCCCGCCCCTCCGCGCCTACCCTCTCTTCACCGACGCGCTCCTCTCCCACACTCTCTTCCCCCATGCCCTTCCCTCCCGTCCCTTGCCAGGTGAAGCGGCAATGGCATGAGACGCTGGTGGTGGTGTGCGCTCTGGAGCTGCTGCTGCTGCCCGACTCCCCCAACGGCCCTCGCCACTGCGTGCTGCGGGTGAGTAGCCCCTCGCCACTGCGTGCTGCGGGTGAGTAGCCCTCGCCACTGCGTGCTGCGGGTCAGTGAATCGTTGTACTTGGATCCTTCCATGCTGCGTGCTGCCTGCGAGTCAATAGTCAATAGTCAACAGTCCAAATGGGTCAGTGGCTCATGTCATCTCACAGTGTGTGCTGTGGGTCAGTAGACTGTCTTTCTTGGATCCTTTCATCACCTGCATTATGCACATTCTACCCCTTGCCTTATCACATTTCCCAACCCCTCCCTTCCGTCTCACCCATTTCCTGTTCCACCATCTGCTTGCTCCATTCCCACTTCTTCTCTCCCCATTCTCTTTGCCATCTCTCACTCACCTCTCCCCATCCTCATCCCCACCCCTCCTTATCCCTCCCCTTCACTCCCCATCCCTTCCTATTCCCCACCCCACCCCCTCCCCCCACCTCCCACCCTTCGTCCCCTCCCTTCCTCCCAGTGGATCCATAACATGCATCCAACACGCTTCACATTCTGAACGTGACCTCGATACCAACCACAGCGCCTTCCTCCCCCTCCTCATCTTCCCTTCCCCCCCTCCCCTTTCGTTGCCCCCTTTCTGTTCCCCCTCCCAGTGGATCCACGACATGCATCCAGCACTCTTCACCTTCTATGACGTGGACATGCACACCAACCACAGCGCCTTCCCCTCCACCCTCCCCATCTCCCCTCTCCTTCCCCATCCCTACCCACACCCCCTCGTTCCCCCTCCCAGTGGATCCACGACATGCATCCGACACTCTTCACCTTCTGTGACGTGGACTTGGACACCAACCACAGTGCCTTCCTCCCGCGCTTTCAAGACATTGTCGACCACCACCTCGCCACCTTCCAGTTTCACGATGTCTTCCTCGGGAACGCCGACAAGCGCCTGCTCTCGGTCTTCGAGGAGATTTACTTCGCGCGCTCTATTATCAACGGGATTGCTTGTGAAGGGGATGAGCGGGTTGTGCGGTCGGAGAGGGCGGGGCAATGGAGGAAGCGGTTGTTACTGATGGGGTTTGCACCGTGCACCATTCCGACGTCAGTGATAGACAGTGTACATAAGATGCTGAAACGGTTCCCGCTTGGGCTGGGGTTACAGATAGAGGATGGGATGGTGAGCTTGATGTGGCGGGGAAGCCGTTCCCTGTTCACATCGGCATGGATCCCGTGTATTGGCAAGTGAAACATAAACATGTTCTGATGTAATAGCTGGAATACATGTTTGAAGTAGATGCATCATCTGCATGTTTGAAGTGAACCCTAAAGCATGGAAGAACGAAGTTTTTACTGGTTGCCAAGCTCTGCTTCATGTGAATGCATCGTATGATTGAGAGGTCTTTGTCGGAGCACTTTACATCGAACTCCGACTCGCGAGAGATCCCAGAGACGTCAACCAACCTGCAATCTGTGCAGGGAGAAACTTCTCAACACGTTCGCCTGTATCTAGGTTCGGGCTGGGTGCCTCGCCACACCACGCCACCAGACTGCAGCCATGTCAGCCTCCAGACCTCTAGATTCGCGCACCGAGCCTTGATTGCTGGCCGGGCCTGCTGCCCAGCCGTGCCAATGTGGCAAGGCTCATTCACGAGGTGTGAGGTGTAGCTGATGCTCACCCCATGCGCGCGAATTTGCCTTGCGCCGGATGGACACGCTGCACCCGAGGTTGTTTCCCCAGCTTCATGCACCCACATTACAAGCGCGTCAAGCAGAAGAGACCGAAGTCAAGCAGAAGAGACTGAAGTCAAACTAGGTAACTAGGTAGCAGGGTCTTGTTTATAAGCACATGCGAATTCTTTTTAGCTAGCTGCGAAGTTGACGAACTTATGCGAAACGTTTGATACAGCTTATATGCCCCCTTCACAAGGCAACCGGGAGGGGCTCAAACAGGCATCAGGAGTATCACAGAATCAGGCGACGTCAGCAATACTGCAATTTGTGCAGGGAGAAATTTCTTCACAAGTTCGCTCGCATCTAGGTTCGGCATGGGCGCTCGGCATGCCACCACAGCAGAGTCAGCCATGTCAGCGAACCACACACAGGCTTGTTTGCCATTGCTGGCGTCATGCTTGTGGCCCACTCGTGTCAACGTGGCACCAAACCTCGTGATGGTTCAGATTCGCAATCAGCGTGGTGAATCCTCCTCGATAATATTTAGTGTGAAGGTTTGCTTTGCCCACAACACAGGTCATGCGGGAATGATAGGTCATGAGGCCGAAGAGGAATCTGCCTGACGAGGAAGGCCTCCAAGAAACTCCTGGAATTCCATCTTATCCCATTGCTCGCCACATATATAATCATCCAAATATGCTTCCTGCATCACCATTCTCCGGTTGTCTAGACGCTCGTTCGCTCGATCCACCTTCAGCTTCCTTTCCTTTCGGATACTCCCGACGACGTACCAGCTGTTCGCAATGGCCGCCGAAGTCGGAGAGGGTAACTGCATCGGCTATGCCGCCAGGGATCAGTCGGGATTCCTTTCGCCCTTCAAGTTCAACCGCAGGTTCGCCTCTCTTTATTCATATCTTTCCCGCGTTTCCGCCAAATCCGTGCCTTGTGTCTGAAGTCCATTTCTCTTACCACCTACCGGATCCTGGAATTAAGAAAAACTTAGTGGAACGGCGTAAGTTCCGTGCCATTGATTCGTACACGCATTCGTATCACGCATTGCGTTCGCCTTTGAGAAACTCAAAGCTTCTTTGTGTTATGTTCTGTCGCGCGTAGGGAGGTGGGGCCCAAGGACGTGCGCATCCGCATCACGCACTGCGGCATCTGCCACAGCGACCTGCACCAGGTCAAGAACGAATGGGGCGGCTCGCAGTACCCCATGGTTCCAGGGTACGTCCGCTTCGTCTCTTCCTCTTCTTCTCTCCTTCTTTCTCTCCCATGTTAAGAAAGCTCTTTACTTCTCTCTCCCTCGTTCCCTGGTTTTCATCTTTCTCCTCTGGAATAGTCTGTTCCCTGCATGCTGGCCTTTTTTAACCCGGCACCGCTCTCTCCCCCTCGTTTTCTTTTTCGCGACAGACACGAGATCGCGGGGGTGGTTGAGGCTGTGGGCTCCGAGGTGACGAGGGTGGCGGTGGGGCAGAGGGCGGGCATCGGGTGCATGGTGGACTCGTGCCGCACGTGCCAGCCATGCGTGCAGCACGTGGAACAGTTCTGCCCGCAATGCGTGTACACGTACAACAAGGTGGACCCCAAGACGGGCGAGTCAACGCAGGGCGGCTACTCCTCCTTCTACGTCTGCGACCAGGAGTACGTCTCTTCGGATCCACTCGCGGCCTTCGCGATTTTGACGGGCGTTTCCCGCCCTTGCCGCTCCAGCTATTCGCGTCAAATGCACGAAGCTCACAAACTCGTCTGCTATCTTACTTTGCGAGACTAGCTTCCTGACAGTTCCTCGCGTGCCCCTCCCCCGCCCCAACTCCCACTACTTTCCGCGACACCCACAGCTTCGTGCTGACAATCCCCGACAAGCTGCCGTCCGACGTGGCGGCGCCGCTGCTGTGCGCGGGAATCACTGTCTACTCGCCCATGGTCTACTACGGCATCAACCAGGCCGGCAAGCGGTTGGGAGTGGTGGGGCTGGGCGGGCTGGGGCACATGGCGGTGAAATTCGGCAAGGCGTTTGGCATGCACGTGACGGTGCTGAGCACGAGTCCGAGCAAGGAGAAGGAGGCCAAGGAGGTGATGTGTGCGGATGAGTTCATTGTCACCAAGGACGCCGACGCCATGAAGGTGAGAGCCGACACCATGAAGGTGAGAGAAGGTGGATTTGATGTCTTATGGGGGTGACAGAGTGGGGAACATTTGAACCGAGTGTACTAGATGTTACATTTTCGTTTTTTTGTTGGCCCTGTGGATTTGCTGAAAATTAGTTTGCCTGCGGCACTCTTTCCACCACCAACAGGCAGCAGTGGGGACATTGGATGCCATAGTGGACACAGTATCAGCGCAGCATGACCTGGCACCATACCTGGACCTCCTCACATTCAATGGCAAGATGATCCTTGTTGGCGTCCCCCCAGAGCCCTACGGTCTGCATGCTGGCCAACTCATTTTCGGTGAGTCATGTTTGTCCATGCTGGAATCAATTTCTTGATTTTGAAATAGAGATGCCTTGTTAATTCCAAGCAAGGGCTGTAAACTCGTGTAATGCTGATTTTCCCATTGTGCTGTGGTTGTGACTCATGTATTGGTGATTGCTTATCATTTTGAACTTCCCCCTTGCTACTTACAGGCCGTAAGACTGTGGCTGGAAGTTTGATTGGAGGGATCAAGGAGACCCAGGAGATGCTGGAGTTCTGTGCGGAGAAGGGGGTTGCGCCTATGATTGAGAAGATTGACATCCAGGACGTGAACAAGGCGTATGAGAGAATGTTGAAGAACGATGTGAAATACCGCTTCGTTATTGAGATAGAGAAGAGCCTCAAGTAAAAACTTGATTAGCACAAATTTGTGAAATCTTGATTTTGCAGCTTGAAGCTGAGCGTTTATTTCTTTACTGTGAAGGAAAAATAACATATTCTTTATAGCTTTGCCAATCATTACACCCATTATTCAAAATCAGTGGATATTGAAGATATTTGGATTTTTTTGCAAACACTTGCTGTATGTATTCGAAGCACCGGATACCAAAAAGGCCGTCGTTACCGTGTTGACGAGTACCGAAGCAAGAGCACCACACTCGTCTCTCGCTACCGCACTCCACCACTCCCAGCAAGTTGCGCATTCCCGCCCGCGCGTATCAACCCACCAACTTTGTCCTCCCCGCGTGACCCCTGTCACCCTCGACTCACCCAAACCACCGCATCCCCCGACCGCCAAGTCGCGACAATATCGATGGGGATTATAGCCGAGATAGATGGGTCGCCATGCATCATGCTGCTTGCGTCGACTAGCGATTGCCCCGTGCCTGCTTGATTGCTTGTTTGCTTGATCCGCTTTGCTTTCTTGCCATTCCCATGATCCCATCCCTTTCCCCTCACGAGCCACGATTCACGCCGCCTGCAGCTTAGGTCTTGACAGCAATTGACGGCAGTAAGTCTACTCTTCCACTCAGAACGCGAGTTGCTGCGAGCATTGTTCCAAATCGCAGTTCCATCTCTCATCGCGTGCAGCACATCGCTCCTCGTCGCCTCCACCTTCCCGTTTGCTAAGTACCCTCCATTCCTTCTTTACCTTCCATTTTAGCTTGCTCACGCTCTTCAAGCTAATAGTTTTCAGTTTTAGTAAACTTCCTGCGTCCCGTGTGCGCGCTACGCTCGACATTGTGCCGCGTCAGTCGCCGTTTCTTACGGAGCACGTCACCGATTCTCCTGCGTCCCCGCGCCCACTAATATGTTCTGTTGCTTCTGTCGCTCGCGAGCCGCGGACGATGACGACGACTACGCCACGTCACTCCCCCCCGCTCCCGCGAACCGCAAGCACGCCGCGCCAACCGCGACCGGAGCATCCGCGGGCGTGCACGAGTTCGCGAGCCAGATGGCGGCGGCGGACGACCGCGTCGCCATGTCGTCCGTCGCCGTGCTTCACGCCGCGCAGATCCGCAGCATCCGTTCCGAGAATGCCGGCGACGCGAGGCCCGTCGGCACGCCGCCGAGTCGCGGCGGGAGTCGCGGAGCGACCCCGCGCGAGTCGCAGCGGTCGCCGGGTGTCGCCGGCGATTGGAATCGGAGTTATCAAGGCCAGTCCACTCCGGGGGCAGCGTCCGGTGCGGGGTTTGGATCGAATGCTGCCGCGGTGGGAAGCGGAGTTAGCGGGAGCGGTTTTTGCGGGGCCGGTGGGGTCCATAGCATGTCGGAGCCTCGAATCGCGACACCTGGAGCTACAGGAGACAAACTACCGCTGTCGCCTTTATCGGGTATGCTTATAACGGGCCAGGCGCAAGGTCACAGTTACAGCCCCGCACAGGGGGTTCATCATCACGCGCAGTATGCGCATCAGGGGGAGAGCGGGAGGGTGGGCGGGGGCGCAAGCGGAGGTATTGGCGCAGGCGGAGGTATTGGCGCAGGCGGAGGCGGAGGCGGCGCAGGGGGAGCGGGTGGCGCAGTTACGATGGCGAGCGGACCTGGGACGCAGCGCCCCGTGCCAATGGCGTCGAGCGCGGCCGCGTCTGCGCCGGGTCGCGCGCGGATACTCGCGTGGCTTCAGGAGTCAGAGTTTAACTACGCGATAGTTGACGAGGTGGACAACTCTCCTACGAAGCTTCCTCCTTCAACCGGTAAAGGGTCAAGCAGCGCCGCCGGTGATAGCGACGCTGTGACTGTAGGCGGAGGTGACAGCAGCGGGGGCACGAACAGCACGAGAGAAGGCAGCCACGACCCTTTTAGACCCGCACTCTCCAACCCTGACGAACCCGCTATAGAGAAACTCGGTTCGTTTTTATCGAGCCTGCTAAACGGGTGCTATGATGACGCCAGCAGCCCCGCGCCGCCCCCGCAGCCGGGCAGCAGCAATCAGCCGTTCGATCCGTTCGCTAGTTCTAGTAACGCGGGGTCGTGGCGCAGAGAGACCGCAGTTGTGACTCTACCGGGGTCCAGAAAGGACCTGCCTCCTGCCGCACCGACATTTGGCTCGAACACAGCAGCATTAGGAGGGGGGAGAGGGGGAGGGGGAGTCGGGGGGATTGCGGGAGGTAGAGCAGGAGGAGCAGGAGCAGGAGCAGCGCGAGCAGCAGCAGGAGATGTAGGAGGCACGGGCGTCGGGCGTTTAGGTGCTGCTGTGGGTTCTCTAGCTGCTCCCGCTGCTGCCGCTTCTTCTGCTGCTGCTGCTCGTGATAACAGTGCTGGCGTTGCTGCTGCTGCTGCCCCCTCTCCTTCCCCTCCTGCCGCCGCTGCTGCTGGCGCTGCAACGCGCAATCCCTCTGCAGTGCGCACGTGGAAAGACAGCGCTGACGCTACCTTGCTGAGCGCTAAGTTTCACTCGCAGGCTCGGGTTGCCGGGCCTACAGGCTTGGGAGCAGGCTCGGGAGCCGCGCTGTCCCCTGCTGCTGCCGCGGCTGCAGCGGCTGCCACGGCGGCGGCTGCTGCAGCAACGATGGCGGGCGCGGGCGCGGATGCGCGTATGGGCGCATCGGAGCCCTGTGCGCGCAGCTCTGCGCCAGCTGCCGCAGAAGCGAGAGAATTATCACCATCACCAGCAGTAGCAGGTGAAACTGTAGCTGTCGCAGCTGCAGCAGCAGACATAGGGGTTCTAGCAACAGCAGAAGCACTGGTGGCAAAGGGGGGGGAATTAGCTTTGGGTTCAGGCACAAGGGGAGGGGCTTCAGCGGCAGGTAGGGCAGAAGCAAGCGCAGAAGCAGAAGGGGCTCTTGCAGGTGCTGCATTAGCAGACACTCGTGCAGCAGCTGAGGCTGCAACCACAGGAACATGCGGGGCAACTGGTGCTTATGGTGCCAATGGTGCTGATGGTATTGATGGTGGGATTGGTGGCACGGATTGCACAGGCGGTGTTGATGCTGCGGTTGGTGCTGGTGGGACAGATGGCATAGGTGATGCAGGTGCGGCAGTGGGGCGAGGGCGAGAGCGGGAGAGGGAGGGTCTGCTGGTGCAGGCACTGACCAATCAGATGCGGCAGAACGGGGGAGAGGGGGAGGGGGGTGACGGCAGGGCGAGGGGGAGAAGAAACGGGGAGGGGGGACCGCTCGCACAGGAGCCAGCAGGGAGAGAGGCAGAGAGTGCAGGGGAGCAGGAGTGGCGGGGTGTGAGCATGAGGGAGGGCCGAGGAGGGGGAGAGAGCGAGCTGGTGAGTCGGTCAGTGACTGAGGCGTCAGCTGGGGATCTATCGGCCGTGGCCAGCAATATTGGAGTCACTTTTGAAAACTCCCAAAAGTGACTGCGAATTATTAGCAGTTGCCAGCACAGGCGCAGGGCTTGGGGGGGGGGGGGTGGGGGGGGTTAGGGGGGGGTGGGGTTTTGTGTTATTGAGGCGCCTTAGAAGTGAATGCAGCTGGGGGGTGTGTATTCTGTGGGCATCATCGGGGCAGGGCTGGGTGGAGGGAATAGGGAGGGGCAAATGGGGCGGCCACAGGAGTGCAGGCGCAGCAGCAGGTGCAGACCTGCCTGTGCTTGCCCAGAGTCGTCTCGAGAGGTATTATGTTTCGGTAGGATGCGGTACGGTGGGGTTGTGTGGGGCACACTGACAGTGGCAGTGGGAGGTGGGCCGGCTGAGAGGGGAATGAGAGGGAATGGTGAGCCCTGAGATGCCTGGAAACATGGCAGCACTTGTTCACAATCTAAGTAATGTGAAGATGTGATGCTTGAGTCAAATCACAAGTCATCCACCCGTGCTCTGAGCAGGCCCCCAGAAGTCAGAGAAATTTCTCTGATTTGCCTAAAAAACTCTTATATTCAGCTTTTTTTTTAAGTGAACTCTTAAAGTTCAGCGTTTTTTTTGCTGTGAACTCTGAATATTCAGAAAAACGTAAAAACGTTAAAATCTATGCCTTGTCTGATATTTCAGACTTTTCTCAGAGTGTACTCTGATCCCAAGAGTGTTTTAGCGGGTACCTACTGACCTGACAGCCGCGATTAGCGCTGGAAGTACAAATTTGTCGTGTCAGTCACACTGAAACAGTGACAACAGCGCTGCGGCGAGGTTATCATACCGTTCTAGGCTGATCAATCAGCTTCACTACTGATGTGAACTTTGGTTTATCAGACTTTTATACGATTGAACTCTGAAATTTCGTATTTTTTTGTGTATCAAGTCTGATTGATCAGACTAAAAATGTGTACTACGGTAAGTCTGACGAATCAGACAGCCCAAAAACGAGTCTGAGGGCCTGGCTCTGAGTCGTCTCAGTTGTCTCTGTTACGAATAGTAATACTTGAATATTACTGTGCACTCCTCACCGCAGCAAAGAGAAGCACGCAGTATCGCGAATGAACGCGAAGCGTCAGACGGTTGGAATCGACTCGAAGCGTCACACAGTTGGGACGCATCTGGACCGTCGGAGCAGACAGCATCAGGCAGCTGCAGGCAGCATGGTTTCAGCGGGAACAGTTTCGTAATTGTTCGCGCCGCACGGTTGGGAATGTATTTGAATAAGGGAATGTATCCCTTAGAGTACATGGCTAGCTAGGTCGTTTCATCTCCCATGTACTCATATAGGTATATATTTGTTGTATTTGCATGTTTTAAATTATCTCAAAGCATTTTACATTCACTCTGCTATTGAAGTCAAGGGCCCACCAACATCACCTCTCTGCGTGCGAACCTTCCTGAGTAGATCCTAGGCCACGATCAACTTCTGATCGCAGCATGGTATGAGAGCGGCTCAGAAATCCTTCGCACTGCCACTCCTGAAAATTACGACATTCGGAAAGTGGCGTCCGGCATACGCTCGCGTGTGAGAATGGCCGGAGGATCTGGTGGTCAGACGAATCTGACGGCTGAAGCGCAGCCCAACCCGGCTGCAACAAGCGAGGAAACGA